AGGCTTTTCTGCAGCCCCCCGTGTGCTCTCAGAGCCCTCCAGCGCCCCTTTATGGCTCTTCCTCCAGCAGTAGGCATACACTTGTTTTTGTGATTACTGATTATCCTGTTTCCCTCAATAGCCTGTAAGCTCCAGAAGGGTGGGACCATGTCTCTATTTGCTCTCGACTGTGTTCCCAGTGCTTGAGAGACACTTGCTAACAAGTAATGAATACATGAATGCAACTTTTGGGGACAGGGAACAGCAAGCCTTCATCTTTGAAAATTTCAGCGCCTGCACAATGAATGGATGATAAAATGTGTGGATAACTAAGAATGCGGTGTAAAAAGAGAATTCATTCATTCACTCCAAAATGTTTAGAGGTCTACCATATGTTGAGTAAGGTGTCAGAGACTGAGGACAACCATGGTGAGCAAGATTAACTCTGGCTTTAAATCACAACTGTACGTAGTATGCTTCAGCTGTATGCCCTTGGCTGTGATTTCATCCAGGCTATCCTCCCACTTGCCCATTCCAGCCCTTTGTTCCTTTTGACTTTGCCAGGGCCATCCCTGGGTGATAAATTTGGCCCACCTGCATAAACTGTAGCTCCCCCTCCCTTCTTTTTTATGGCATCTTAGCATCACTCTGGTAGCCTGATCTCACGATTCCTCATAAGAAATACTCTGCTGGCCAGAGTGACCAGCTAGCCAGGCTACTTTCCTAGAACTGGGGCTTGGCCACAGGACCCTGGGATGATCCCTCAGGTGTCAGTACCAAGCCTCTAGGGCATCTGGTCAAGGCCATGTGCGGGTGGGGGGAGTGGCGAGGGCTGGAGTGCACCTGGGAGAAAGGTTCTGCCTGGGTGGTACTGCTGGCTCACGCCAGACCCAGGCCCCAGAATGCACTTTGAAGTGGGGCCCCTGAGGTGGAAGAGAGCTGTGACCAAGAATTGTCCATTCTACCAGTGGCACTTCAAATGGAGCAGCCTCCCTCTGCATTCTGCTGCAGGAGGCAGAACCCAGCCGTATGCAAGTGTTCCCGTCTTCTGTATTGGTCCAGATCATCTTCCCACTGGGCAGTTGCCACACTATTTTCCTTCTCGTTTTCTTGGTTCTCTGATCTCTTTAGTTATACACTCTAGCTTCTGATTACTTGCCTTTCTCTTCTTATGTGATGAGTCATTTGGGCAATTCTGCTGCTTACCAAGCCCAGGCCCTCCCTCTCTCTCTCCCTCCCTTGTGGGTTCCCGTGGCTTAACACACTGGCAGCATTAGGTTGCAGACAGTCCTGTTGGGGAAAGGTCGCCTTGCAACTGGCCCCTTTCTGTCAGCTTCCTCTGCAAATCCTGTGAGCTGACTGGCTTGCTCTGAATCCTCTTATGATTGGCATCTTCCATTCCTGAGCAGAATTTGCCCCAACCAATTTTAAGGTGGCAGGTTATTTTTGCATCTTAAGGGTGGAGGAGTATCCATAGCCTGAGACCCCAGATTTTATGCAGAGCCCTGCTTCTAGATAAATTACAGTATTGATCCCTTTGGCACTTTCTGTTTTATCATTCCCAAGGACAGGAGATTGTACAGAGGATGGAAGATGTTCAAGGAGTACAAACTAGAATTTCTCTAAAGCAGCAAAGAAAATGTGATAGCAGTTGTATGCTTCAGAAAATGTTCAGTTTTTAAGATATATTCTGCACCCAGAGGTGCAGAGCTTAAGTGGATTCAAGGAACCCCAGGATATAAAGGTAGGCTTTTCACTGGAACCCCAGACCTCAAAACCACTTTGATGGGTCAGTTTTCACCACTACTCTCTATTGCCAGGTTGAAATATTTATTTGAAAAATTGAAAACACAAATGCAATGTATTATACAAAGAAAGGTCTTATTATCATAATAAAAGTATTGTTGGAAGGAAACAAAAGCCAGTGGCTACCTGCCCTGGGAAGGTAGGCACTCAGTGAAAAATGAAATTCATTATAGGAACTATTTTTAACGGAAAACTGGGGAAAAGGTTAAAAATGGAAGAGAAGAACGAACCCAATCCCATCCCTGCAAACCTCATGTGAAAGAGTTTGTTATAAGTTTGAGACAATTGTATCGTCACCAAGATTTATCCGAACCCCTCGGTTTGTCCCTATGAGTGGTAATCAGCTTAATTTAGGGCCTTCAAACCTGAGGTAGTTGAGGGTCACCTGAAAGACATGTCTGGAAATGATCTACTCTCAGAATCGGACCCAACGGCATCTGTTTCACGTTGCTTTGGCTCCTGGGATGAGAGGCTATGCCACCACTGTGGGTTCTGATCCTGTATTTGGTCTGGACCTGGGAGACGAAAGACGTAAGCAGCACACAGCTGGCCTGGTTTGCTGTGCCAGTGGCTGGCAGGCCCGTGGTGGTAGTTTTCTATGCTACAGGCAGTGCAGTCTCTGGAGGACTGAGGATGGTGGAGAGAGGGCAAAGCCAGTCTGGTTGGAAGGCCAATGCTGGCACTGAAGGCTTTCGTTGGTAGGAAGGATTTCTAGAGACTTGGAAAGGTGGCAGATGGTAGCAAGAAATTTACCAATTATCAAAGACCAGGGTAAGCGGCGCCGGTAGACCTCTCTAGACTGAGGAGCTGGCCAAGAAGTGAGCATTTCCCAGGGGCAAGCTCAGAACCAGCTCCTCCTCAGTGAGAGGCCGAAGCAAACCAACCTGACTAAACGACATGCATTTGTGACCCCCGTGGTACCTGGTGTAAACCCTGGTGTCTGACTTGGCAGCTCAAACAACTCCAGGAAAGGATGCTCTGGACAATGTTGGTTCCTCCAGCTACTGGGTTAGGGACTCATATTTAGGTGGGATCCTAGGGATCCTGCTGTGGGCAGCAGAATCAGGAAACAATCCAAATTATAGTCTAATTTAAACTCCTTGTGCAGATATAAAATAACCCCACCAAGGTAGGTTTTTTCCTTCTATTTTTTTCCTTATTATGTACACACATATCCTTACTCTAGAGGTATTAGAGCACTGTATTACAAAATTAAATAATGGATGTAGCTTTATTTCAGCCTCTCATCCATCCTAAGCCACTGCTTTGTTGTTGTCCTGCCTCGCTATGATCTATTTTACACTGACTCATGAGACTTCAGTCACTAATGCTGCTCAGGGACTAACTTAAAAGGCTGTTAGGTTATTTTTAGCCTTAGGGTGTGATTCCCGTTCTAATCAAGGAACTTCACACCAAGTATAACATACTCATTTCTAGAAAAGCCAAGGCAGGACAATTTGATTTTGGCTGGAGAATGGACTAGTTTCCAATGTGAGCAATGATGAAAGTAATGATACTACATCGGACAAGTATTTCCTCCTGTGAGACTGAATGAGCCTGTGCTCCTGGTTAAATACTTTCCAAACTGTTTTATTACTCAGGCTAGGCCCATGAAGGTTGTACAAATTACTGTGGCTTCTCTTTAGAGGGACTGTTATTCAGAGAATCCTAATGTGGCCCAATATACTAGATCTTTTTCCCTGCTGTTGATCTGGAGCACAATTGTTTGAGTGGCTGAGATTCTGGAAGTGAGGACTAGCTACCTCTGGAAATGCTGAGCCACAGTGAGAAGACACTGATTGGCTTAACGGGCACAACCGGGCCAGGGACGTCCTAGGCCACTCCTTCTGAGCCTCGGGGGGAAAACACTGACACAGAGCAGCATTAGACACGGAGCACTCAGCTTCCACTGCCACCTCTTAGCTCGTATGGAGAGCGCTCATCTGAGTCTTGTAGTCTGAGGAATCTGAGCTAGCGGGAGATGGTTTTTTGAGTGTCCTACATAGAAAATGCAGAGGAGTCAGGGTGGCTTTAGGAAGGAGGTGGGCTTGATTCACAGTGATCCGACAGGAGCCTCACAACCTGTCACACAGCAGCACCTCGCAATGCTCCTTTGGGACAGGTCCTGGGAAGTGCTTATTGGCTACTACCTATGAGTTGCTACAAATAAGGAAGGAAGACACTGCTTGTCCAAGATTGGAAGGTCACTTAAATGTCAGGGTCCATCTGGAGGTGGAGAAGTGCTGTCAGGCTGCCCGGCTCCAGAAGGCTGTTAACGCACCCTGTCCTCATCCTGTTTGCAGGGCGGCGAGGGCCCGGGACATGAGGCTGGGCCCCCTTTCTTGTTTTCCCTGACTCGGATGCTCTGAAGAATGTGCCCGCTTTGGGATCCAAGACGGTAACAGATCGGGACAGCATCTTGGCCTTGTTTCTGCTTCTTGAAGACTGATGTACTGGGGCAGCAATGCAAGCCTTGCCGTAGTCACCCCTAAAATCCTGATTGCTCCAAGCATCTTTTTGTAGGCTGCTGCTGCTGCTTAACGGAGGTTAGTAATAAATATTAAAGGTACCAAACCAAGCACAGGGTTCTTCCCTGCTGGGAGCAAGTTTGACTGATCTTCTGGGTCTGTCAATTAGGTAGAACATGGAACGGTCTTCTTCAGATTCAAGAGGATGCCAAGGCATGCATTTGGAGAAAGGAATTGGAAACCCTGCACACGCTCCCTCTTAGGGCCCTGCCTGGGTCTGAAGGGAGGTGGCATGGAAAATTCATTCCATGGGGGAAGAAGTGTGGCTACTCTCACCAGCTCCATTCGAGCGTGTGATATGGTTTTTCAGCCTGGTCACGAGGAGTTCCCATGAAAGGTGTCTCCTGAAGACCTGGGCTGTGTGCACCCTCCTTTCTCTCACTTGTGAAGGTGGGCAGACGCTTTCAGCTAAGCTCCAGCTTTAGGAAGGAAAGGCACTCGCTCTGCTTCTGCCTTTGGAGGAAAGCTGTGGCTCAGCAGCTCCACCCGACCCTGGGGAGTGGCCTTGGCTGACCCACACTCGCTCAGCAGGACACAGCGTGGAGGCTGACGTGGAGCACCAAGTGAAGCCTGAGCAGCACCATCGCTGTTAACTGCTGTGGTCAGGGGCCCCTGAGAGCTCAGAGCTCCAGGGCTGGTCCCTTTGGGAAGTTGGCTAGATGAATGACACTTGAAAAAAGAAAACCAAAAAACCTCAACCAACCACCATAAGAAGCAGTGGGAATCCATGGAATTGCCAAAAGTAGGGGAGAACTGCCTTGACATTCTTAGCCAGAACACTCCTGTTCTTCTGACTCTGCGCACAGATTCAGGGTAGTGTCCTGGTTTGGAATCCACCAGCCCTCTGACGCTCACAAGTTTGTGCAAATGATGAAACTGAAAAGACTGAGAAGAAAATAGAAAAGAAAATGCATAAGATCTTCCCTCTCTGGGCTCTCCACAAGAACAATAAGCCAGTCTGACGCAGACACTGATTGTTGGGGGTAAAACAGGACTGGGAGGAAGGTCCTCTCTGTGGGGTGGCCCTGCTCCCCCTCCTCTCTGGACCTGGGCCAGCCTGGACACTAGGGAGGTGGTGAGAGAGCACAGATCATGGGTTCTAACACAAAAGGTGTCACTGTGGAGGGAGTCTTTGCAAGGCCATGCAGGTCCTCGGCACTGGACAATGAGAATGGTGTGGCTGCCACTGGGACCCCCAGGGTTTAGCTGGTGGCTGGGGGAATAACAAACACAGAGATGGGCAACGAGGATTTACACTCTGATGTGTGGGGCGTCGGTGTGGCTCTAATCTTTTTCGGTTACCACTTCTTGCAGTGTAGGTGGAGATGCTTCTGTTCCTAAAAGATAGTAATAATTTATGTTTCATAGCACTTCATGCATGCACATATTCATTTAACCAATAAAAACTGCCATCATGTTGGGCTCTAAAATACATTATAATCATAACCCTCTATTCCCTGAGTTCAGTGTCCAGGAATGACTTGGATACATCTGTGGTTGGTTCCCAAAGTCAACCAAGTCCAACGAGAATCAGCCATCTGGGTTGTGATCAAGTTAGCCAAGTTGGACATGTGGAAAAGCAGCACTCACAGACTCCCTCCAGGCAATGAAGAGTCTCTGGGCTGCTGGGCTGAATATCACCCCCCTGCACTCCATTCCTCCTAGCTCCTGACCTCTTCTATCTTTTGGGTATTGCTGCCCATTGCTGGGTCTAGACAGTCAGAACCTTGTAATTCACGTGCCCCTGTCTGCTGGAGCTTCACTGACCAGCATGCATTCACTATTCAACTCTATGCTGGCCAGACACTAAACTCCTGGGGAGTAAACCAGGCTAACTGGGCCTGGAAGGAAATGGTGGTGAATGAGTGACTAGCCCACTGGTCAACACTAAGGTCTTAAAAGGTAACAACAAAAGCTTTCAATTCACCACAATTTATGCCAGTTTTGGGCTTAAAGGCTACTTATAACTGAAGAGACAACATGCCCTGTGAGTAGAGAGAAGGATGGGTCCTCATGCTGTTATGTTTGAGGAGAAGGCTCTCGTCACACAGCGTCCTCCCCTCACTGCGGGCCGGTGCTGATCCTCCGAGAGGCCTACCTTCTTCCCAGCCCTCAGCAACACCAGCAAGCTCATAGTGCTTTTTTCGAAGCTCTCCCAGTTTTTGGCGCTCCTTCTGCAGTTCATTTTCTAGCTCCAGCACCCTAACCTGTGGGGAAAGTGGAATTTTCTTTTGAGCAGCGATCTGAGAACTGCCTTATCTTGATAATACCTTTCCTCCGTGTTCCGCTCTCTTCTTCCACATTGCTCACTCTATTTCCATAGCTTACCCAGTTCTCAATTTCAACCTGGCTCTGCTCTGATTTCTTCATCCTCTCATTCATCGTCTATCCCCGTGGCTCCTACGCTTTCTCACTCGGACCCTCTACAGGAAATGAATGATGCTTGACCGTCCAAATGCCTAAATGGCAGTAGGGCTTATCTGATGTTCCTCCAATAAATCACTATCTAAAAACAACTATAATGTTCAGCCTATCTGTATGGTGTGTTCCAATCTACTTGTAACCCTTCTCCTCCAATCCTAGTTCCCTGGAAGTCCAGACAGGAACCAAATATGATGGATCTGGCTTTTCTGAAGGGCTGGTGCAACTTACAGTTATTATTGTACAGGAAAAGGCACAGACAATCTCACTAAAGGAAGGGTTGGTTCTTGGCTATCCCTACTCCTCATTAATTTTAGTTATTAATTCAAGAAATATTTGCTGAGCACCCATCACGTACCCCCAGCTCTGTTATAGGTGCTGGAGACATAGTGGTGCACAGACAGACAAGGTCCCTGCTTACCTTGTAGGGGGAAGAGAGAAACTAACGAACGAGAAAAGATCAGATCGTAAAGAAAATGACAGAGGACGAGGTGATAAAGACTAAGTAAGGGTGGTCAGCAAAGGCTACTCTCAGGAAGTAACTCTGAGCTGAAACCCAAATGGCCATAGAGATCAGCTGTTCAGAGAACTAGGGAAGAATGTGCCAGGCAGAGGAAGCAGACTCTAAGATAGGAATGAACCTGAGGTGCCGGAAACAGAAAGAAGTCCTGTGTGGTTGACGTGTAAGAGTGTGAGAGGGTCATGAGATGAAGTGGGAGAAACAGGCAGGGATCATTTCACCTGGGGCCCACGGGCTTGGATAAGGAGTTTGGATATTACTCTAAGTGCAAAGGGAAGCCATTGGAAGATTTTAAGCAGGGAAGTGACATGTAGTCATTTATGTTTTTAAAACATGTAGAGAATGAACGACTGTAGAGGGGAAGGAGTGGAAGCAACTAGACCCAGTTAGTTGGTTCCTTTTTTTGTTTTTAAACTTTTTATGATGGAAAATGTAAAACATATACAGAAGGATAGAGACTGGTACAGTGAACCCCATCATGTACCTTTCACCCAGTTCCACCAACTATCAACTCATGGCTGGACTGATCCCAGCAATATTCTTTTCCTATTCTCCCCCCCACCACCACCCCGGCCCACCACGGGATTACTTTGAAACACATACTCGCATACATTAAGATGACTCCTAGGTTGGGGGCTCGGCACCCAGGTGGGGGGGGGGTGCCATTTACTGAGATGGAGAAAACCAGAAGAGGGACAGACTGGGTAAGAGGGAAACCAAGAGACCTGTTCTAGACATACTAAGTTTGAGATACCTATTGGGCTTCAAGTGGAGATATCAAGTAGGCAGTTGGACAGTACAGAGCTCAAGGAGAAGATCTAGGTTGGGGAGAAGAATTTGGTATTTATCAGCATACAGATGGTATTTAAAGTCAAGAGGGACTCGATAAGACCACTAAGCCAGAGAGTGTAGACAGAAGAGACTCAGGCCCGAGCTCAGTCCTCTCAGTGTTTACACAGAAATTTAGCCATATGACTTTTCCTAAAGATGCTGAGTGACCCATCTATAGGCTTAACAGTCTCAATCTGGACTTTACTCCAGGACCGTGTCCAGTAACCCTAGAACAAGGATGTTAGGTTTTTTTCAGGATCCCACTGATTCCTGTTTTGCATGGCATAACTTTACTAACAACTGAGAGAAATGGCATTTGATGGATTAACAGAGGTTATACACGAATAATTCATATCAGAAGTTTTTGAGAAAAATTTTCTACAGTAAGACTATTAAATACCAGTTTATGGTCAGCCAGGAGATCCCTGATAATGTTTAGAGGGCCACCAGTCTAAGACTAGTGGGCAAGAGTTAAGAGTCTGATCTTTACTAATCACCTCTCTTCACCTCCACTGTTTCTTCCAGCATCATTTACACCCATTCTTGGGCAAATAGGTACAGCTGTGTTCATTTCCCCCCAAGTCTCTCTCTCACTGGCTTCTCACCAGGGGAATAATATTTGGGGTCGATGTCATGGGCAATAGACACTGACTAGACTTAGAGATGGAGTTCCTACCTGGGAATCCATCTCTTGGCGTTTGATCTGGGTCAGCGTCATGCTTGAGAAGTCCATGTTGTCTGCAAGGATGGCAATACAGTCTTGTCAAGTAATACCCCTGGCGGATTCTCCACCTGAGAGGTGGCCAGTGCCAACACTCTACTGAAATGCTTGGTTTGCCATTTACCAAGACATGTGTGAAAGCAACTGAGGGATGGAGAGGAAGGAAGACACAGTGACAGAATAACGAGGATCAGACCGCCCCCCCCAGGGACCATCAGGCCTGTAGGTCATTTCTTTGAATTCAGAGAAATGGCTAACTGGAAAATCTACCTGAGGCCTGTCACTACAGTGACATAAATAACATGCTTATGTGGTGTCCTACCTTACGAGAAAATAAGTATGAATGTAAAAAGATGAAAAATAAGAGAGAATTTGGAAACAGAACTGTGGGAAATTGGGATCTTGGTGAGGAACATCAAGAACAGCTAAATAGGATGGATAAGAAAAGCATTGCTTCCGAAAGGCTACCTGTCTCCTCAATCTGTGATTTGCCAGAAATGGTTGAGGCCACAACTGCGGCGGTGGCCTGGTTCACGCCCCGGGAGGCCTGCTGCAGCTGGGCCAGGTTCGGGCTGTCCTTATCAGCTTTCACCTGCCAGGACAAGCAGATTTAGGTTGACACAATATGGAGCAGCAACGACTCAATCAAATAGTTGATCTGATAGTTCTTGACAAAGACGTGACCTGTGGTGGTCACCAATCAACTTCTCAAAGATTGCTGCCTATGGGGCCAACTTCTGGCACATCTCTAATATAAAAAATCATTCCTGGGGCTGGCCTGGTGGCACAGCGGTTAAGTTCGTGCGCTCCGCTTCGGCGGCCCAGGGTTCGCAGGTTCGGATCCTGGGTGCGGACCGGCGCACCACTTGTCAGGCCCTGTTGTGGCGGTGTCCCATATAAAGTGGAGGAACGTGGGCATGGATGTTAGCCCAGGGCCGGTCTTCCTCAGCAAAAAGAGGAGGATTGGCAACGGATGTTAGCTCAGGGCTGATCTTCCTCACACACAAAAATCATTCCTGCCTTATTTGCTTGGTGGCCTCGAACCTGAGCTGTATCAGTTATTTTGATGAAGTGTTCCAGCTGTGGAAACCAATGTGGGACAACAGTAATTAAGGATAATAAAAGATCACTCCCTGGGGCACTATAAAACTCAGGGAGGGATTTTGGTGACAAGCTGTGCATTAGGATTAGTTGGGGCAATGGTTCAAATGTGGAGACATTGGTTGTGGAACCTCAGAGCCAAGCCAGGTAATCAGTTTACTGTGCTGACAAATTCCTTATTTGAGTGCTTCTTAAATGCCGTGATGGCCAATCAGAGATCGGCATGGCTGGGACCCTAAAGGCCACTTGTAACAAAAGTGAGGAGAGCTAAGAGGAGCACCTGTGGTGCACGGGTAGAGGGGCTCCTTGCTGACAGATGGAAGGCTTTTAGAGGAGGGTGGTATGGGACCCTTGAGAGGCAGAATTTTAATTTGGCTCCCAACCTACCGGGATCCTGGATAAGTCATCTGTTCTTGGGGCCAACTCCATGGTCCAGGTATTCTCTAACCTACCAGACCTTACAGCATCGTAGGAGTCCAGCCTGGGGCCTACCTTGGATGCAGCCACAAGCTGGGCTGTGCTAGCAGCAATTTCATGTGAACACACCATTAGCTCCTCGAATTTCCCTCTGCCTTGTACCACCAGATCGGCTGCATCCCTGAGAGTCAGGAAAGGACCAGATGAATCATGTCACTGATAGCTGCACCCCTTTATGATCCCACTTCTAGACCACCCCCATCACCCTGGCAAGACAGGAAGCACAGCCCGCCTGCTCTGCCCCTGTGCTGCTCCAGGAGGCCCAGGCTGCCTTGTCAACTTTTAATCCTCTTGACTCCTCATCAGCAGTTCATTTCTAGGGGGCAGATTTTTCTCCCTTGGTCATTCTCTGGGGTGGATTAGTGGAATGTGGGTTGGGGTGAGGAGTCTTGGGACCAATAGACACTTACACCATGACAGTGGCTCCCCAGCCCACAGCTTTAGAGGCTGAAATGAGTCCTTCTGTCCATCGAGAATTCTTGGCATAAAACTCCTTAGGGGATGCTGTACCCTAGGGAAGTGAAAAATAATAATAACTCCCTTTTATTGAGTGCTAGCTGCTTTTATATTTATTATCCCATATAGCCTTCACAGTAACCAAGAGGAAAGCATCATTATTCCCATTTTACAGATGAGAAATCTAAGATTGAGACAGGCAAAAATACTTTTCTGAGGGTCATGCAGGAAATAAATGGAAGTAAATCCTAGGCTTTTCTGACTCCAAACCCTATAGCATTTCTATTATATCACAATATTTCTACATTGTATATATAAGAATCTATATATTCATATGTGTACATGAATAACTTATGATCTGAGGGGAGTCTAGCTGCCCTGTGTGATTTGCCAAAAGAGGAGAGTACACAGTGAATAATTTAAAAAAATTATTTCTACTTGCATTCTAAAAATGCTTTTATGTTTTGGAAGTGTCTGATACTCTGAGAATCTGCAGATACTCTGTGCTCAGGCCTTCTTTCTATTTTGGGGACAGAAAATATTCCCTCTCAGACTGACAAAAAGCACCATCAAAGCAGATGCGGCTTTGTTCTTTATAGGATTGTTTCATGCTCATAAACCTTCCCTGGATCATGGTCTCCGGAGCTACAGCTGCATGCAGGGACGTGAGAACAAAAAAAGATAATGATAACGCCAGCAAACGAGTGAGAAGCCAAGTAAGGCTGCCAACAAGAGACTGAGGCAGAGTCTGTCTGTGAATAATTGCGTGTTGACTGTTTTTGGAAAGAGACATGGCAGGGTCCCCCGTGAAGTCAGCACTAGGTTTGCTCTTCAGATTTTCCCAGTTTTCAAAAGTCCTCCCTTCCTCCTCTGAGGGCCCAGACTTGCGATGCCCACTGGGTTTCCACAGCAGGTTCTCTAACGATGTCCACCTGGGTTAATGAGCCCACAGCTGGAGGCTTGGGCTGACTGCTCTCTGGGGACCTGGCAGTGCCCCACTTCTTCCCATGGCATCTGCTGATGTCCACAGGAGTGGCCGTTGCACCCTTAGAGGGACACAGAGGACGAGATGGCAGCATACCTAGATTTCACTGACTGTGCACGAGCGAGTCGAGTAGACCTAGCCTCTCAGAACTGGGTATCTGTAACCGATGCCCAAGGGCCCTCACCCATGCTCACCCGGCCACTCTCCACTATCTCTCTCTGGAGGTCCTTCGAGGCCACAATCAGGACCTGAATAGCTTGCATTAGGCTGGTACAGGAACCAAGAATCCTGCAAAAAAAAAAAAAAAGCTAGGGCCACAGAACAGAGACCAACAACAATGAAGAAGGCTGTTCTCTTTTTCATTCCTAAACACAGGCAAACCTGGCATGGGAACGAAGGCAGGGACAGCTCTGGGGGTGAAGCCCTGAAGGAAAGGCAGGTGGGTGAGGAGACCTGACGGTGGATCTTCTTCATAAGGATAGGTAGTGATGATTCTTGGGGTTTCTTTTCCCCTGAATGCAACAGCAATATCATCATCATTAATACCGGAACTGACAATGACAGACTCAGCCCATCTCTGTGCCTGATTCTATTCTAATTAGTGTAATCCACCACAGGAGAGACGGATCCTGGTCACCCAGGTGCCACCGTGCTGCTCAGACTGACCTTTCGTTCACCTCCAATTTGACTCCTGTGTCCCCTGCTCGGGACTTGCTGAGCATCTCCTGTTAAAAAGAAGCAAGATTTCTCAAGGTGACGGGTACTGAGAATCCACTGGCGTCCTACACTTGTGTCCAACATCTTGCGGTGGCTGAGAAACCCAGATCTAGAAGAGCCCATCCAGATCCCTGCAAGAGTCATGAAAAGAATCCAGACCTCTGATCTATTCAGTGGGAAGCTGCCCCAGCAGGCCGGCTCTACAGTCAGGGGGTATCTTGACGTTCTGGCAACTAGGCTGACGTGTACAGAACTCTGAGAGCTGTGGCGCCATGCCAATAGGGACAGCTGCTCCCAGGTCCGGGAGGCAGGTGCTCACACCAAGGCATGTGGCCTGAGTCTTCCACCAAAGGAGCAAATGTGACCTTTCCAATGGTGCCTACTCAGCTTTCCCCTGAGACAATGTTACCATCGGTTTACTGAGTGCCTGGGACTGAGAGAGATGTGCATTCTCTCATTTAACTCGTACACCCCTCTGAGGTGGGTACTATTACTATCACCATCATATAGAAATAGAATCTGAATCTTAGCAAGGTTTACGTCACTTATCGGATGTCATACAACTGGCAAGTGGTCGATCTGGAACTTGAACGCAGAATGGCCTGACCCAAGGTATGTGATCCTTGAGGACACTGCTCACCTTCCCTTGGTGAGGACCTTCTCAAATTCTATCCCTCAGAGATGCTATAAGTTCAGGTTTTGGTTTGTTTTATAGGTGCCTCCGTAGCCTTAATGAATAACTAAGATACATCCAATGGGCAATGCTGCCAAAGGGAAGCTGCAGGAGCATCACTTTAGGAGATCTTCTTTAGGACCACTTCCATACCTCTATTCTGGCCGTAGCGGTTTCAATGGCAGCTGAAGTGGCAGCCATCTCTTTGTCCACCAGGTCCCCCAGCTCCTCCTGTTTGATATCCAGGCCTCTGGGCAGAAGCTCCTGTGAACAGCACCACAAAAGCCGAAATGATCCTTCGACCTCCTCTCTGTTCTCCTGTGGCAGATCTGTAATCCTCACATGATGGCAGAAGGTAGGAGAGGAGGGCCCCACCACATAACACACTTCTGCAAGCCAGGGAAGGACGTCCCTCACAGGCCTTGTGTGGAACTCTACGATATGAACTCGAGAACCTCATGCTCCACCCCCTCTAATCTCACTCACAACTTACCTCCCTCCAGAAAGCGATCCCTGCCTAACCCCACAAAGCCATTCAGTTGTAGCTGCTCGAACCCTAACCCCACAGTTGCACAGCGTCGACTGTATTTGCTGTGTGGGACATATTTTAAAAACATCTTCAAATGTGGATGATGTCTTCCAACCAGACAGTCTGCCCCTTATTTAACCTTGCTTCCACAGCAATCATGTGAGGCAGTTACTACTCCTGTTCTACAGATGGGAAGCCAAGGCTCAGAGAGATCAAATGTCTTGACCACAGTTACAGATAAATGGCAGAGCAGGGATTTGAACTCAGGTCTGATGGCAAAGTCCATGATTTTTAAAAATATTATGTGTTATACAAACAACAGTATAAAATAGATATGAATGGTTTAAAGAATAAGAACAATGACCCATGTTATCCACCACCCAACTTAAGGAATAGCTTAAGAAACATCAGTACCTTTGAAAGCTCCTTTGTATCCTGCTCTGATTCCATCTCCCTTCCTCCCTACTCCCCATCTCAAAATAAACACAGAATTCAGGAGAATGCTTACCACGTCTCTTTTTTTTTTAATTCCATATGAATGCATCCTTAAACAACACAATGTTAAGTTTGCATGTTTTGTCCTTTATTTAAAAGGAATCATACTGTATGTATTTTTCTGACCTGCTTTTTCACTCAGCATTCTGTGTGAGTTTTGTCCTATAATCTAGTAATTCTATTCCTAGGTATATACTCTAGAGATAAACTCTTACACGTGTGCATCATGATCATAGTGACACATCCATAAAGCCCCAAACTGGAAATAACCCAAATGTCCATGAATGAGAGAACAGATATATAAATTGAGCTATATTCACACAATGGAATACTATAGAGCAGCGAAAATGAATGTATCCCCATGGATGAATCTCACACACAGGATATGAAAAAGCAAGCTGTAGAAAAATGTCTATAACACATAGATCTAACAATATGTTACTTAGAGGGGAAAAGGATATAGTCTTTCTATTATCTTCTTCTGGAACTCTGATTAAACATTCTATATATAACTTCTATAATCCAAGTTGTAAAATCTGTGATGTATTCTGTGTAACTCCTTCAGTTCTATCATCCGGTTCACTAATTCTTTCTTCAGCTTTGTTTTACCTGCTGTTGAGCCTATATACTAAGTTATTACTTTCAATGATTATATTTTTCATTTCTAGAAGCTCTGTGGTTCTTTTTCAAATATATCTGGTTACTCTTCAGTCTATCTTATTCCTTTGTCATACTTTTAATACCTTTTAAAAAGTTCTTTAACATATAAAGTGTATTTATTGTGAACTTACATTCCTTGGGACTTGATCTGTGAAACTTCTTTGAGGTTTAGATTCAAAGCATATTCCTTCAGAGACAATTTGGATCTGTTTCTGCCAGGTGCCTGGACTTCTAACAACCTGACTACTTTACACTTAATTTTCTGTTTGGGTTTTTTAGGCCATATGGGTAGTATGAGATTTGGACCCTGAACCCATAGAAAGGTGGCTTGTAGTTAGGAATTCTCTGGTTCCTTCTCCTCCCAGAACCAAAGTTGAGACAAGATCTTCCCTGTAGGGTAGGCTTTTTTCCCATTTACTCAAGGTATGACCATTTAGAGTTCCTTTTTGGGGAGGAAGGCTCTCCATTCCAGCCTTTTATCCTACTTGGGTCTAGGGTTTGTTTCTTGTTCTCCTCTGCACATGTGGCCCATTAAAATCCAAGCTCTAGGCCACCACAGATAGACAAACACTGGCTCTAGTATCCTTTTGGTTTCTGATTCTGAGAATTTCCTTAGTTTTTAACCAGTTCAGATTCAATTAAAATAATTTTTTTTTCAAATTTTATTCAGTATTTTCTATGTCCTTCCAGACAGGAAGCCTGCCTGAGATCTTTCTATTGTACTTTGCTTTCCTTTCATTAATTTAATTTTTCATCTCCTCATGGTGCTCTATGTACTTTGCACGTGCATTCTGAGTTCTCGATTCTGCACTACATGGGGAAGATGCTCTATCTCCAACAAAAGGCAGACCGTGTAATGCTGCCTAGGCCGCCACCATCAATTTAGTATCACTAAAGTATCACCATGATCATGTCATCCTATTGAAGGAAAGGTCAGCAACTCCCCATTGTCCATAGACATTCAAGGTTCCTTCATCCAGACATTCAAGGTTCTCCACTTCACTGCCCACTTCTCCCCAGTATGAGCCTTCCTCCCCGATCCGATCTTTTATAATCTGTTTTGCTCTCTCCATGTGCATATTCAATTAATTAAACATTTGCTGGGTGTTAACCACCTGCCAGATATTATGCCAGGGACTAGGGATACAATATGAAGAAGGTGTGGGCTCTACCTTTGAGGACTCATCGGGGGGAAATAGGCAGGTAAGCACGCACGTTACAGTGCTAGCCACCAACACTGTAAGATGAAGGGGGTGGGCAAGAGGGGCCTGGAAAGGTGACGAAGGGCCAGACTGTGAAGGTCCTTGTATGTCACGTTACATCATTTGATTTTTGTTATCAAACAAGTGGAATCATAATCAGATTTCTGGTTTTTGGAAGACAGCAGAGGAAAAAGAGGCCAGAGGCAGAAAAACTACCCAGAAGTCTGTTTTAAGAGTCCAAATGAGAGATGATGAGGATCTGAACTCTGGCCCTGATCTCTTCCTTCCCTGAACTTATCATTACCACGTATTTTAGGAATTAATTAAATACTGCTTTGTACTGTACTCTTAAAATAGATCTCACAGTTCTCATCACACTGTATAGAAATGGCTGATTTCCTTATTTTTCTTCCCCATAGAGACCATCTTATTTGTCCCTATATGACTACACCTAGCAGAATTCCAAGCACATAGAACACATTCGCTACATCTTTACTGAATGAATAAATATACAGTTATCTCCATTTTAGATGTTCCTTGCCCAACCAGATAAAAATCCTTGAAAACACGGAAACCGTGCTTATTCTTCCTTGCTATTGCTTAGCACAGTGACGACTACATAGCAGATTTTCAATTAATAGCCAATGAATTAAATATAACTGGAAAGTCCTTCAGGGGGCAGATTGTTCAGCTCTAACTCTCACTTTCTAGAATCAAGCTGTAAGTGCACAAAAAAGTGGCTTAAATAACACTGATTCCCATAAATCACCCACATTCACACCCAAGGACAGTAACAACCTTCCCCGGTAACACCACTGATAATACCTCGCCAATGGCAGCAATCTTGCTGAGGCAGCTCCTCATGGCTGTGCTGTCGGCCTTCTCAAGGGTTCCTTCTTCCCCCAGGGAAGCCAGATAGACGAGGGTTTCCCTGCCATACTGCTTACAGGCCTCAGTCAGTGCTGGAGAGGCAAGGTGACAGAGACTTTTAAAGGCCCCTCTCTGCTCCCCTGCTTTCCTGAACGGCCCCTCACCCCTGGTACTCACAGTCTGCAGGCTCTGGCGGAGCTCTAAGGCAGGTGGTGCTCCCGTGAGCAATGGTGTCACTGGTCAAGTGGGCAAGAAGGGTTACCGAGTGCAGAAGCCCACCGATGTCTGCCAGGAGTGTAAAGGAAAGTTGCTCAGCCCTGCCTGAAGGGTAGCGCTTTCATACCTCCTTCTTTCCCGCTTTACAAGTTGCATGCACTCCTTTCTTGGTGCATAGGAACTCGTTGCTATTTCCACATTCCAGTGTTTCTGAACCCTGCCCGGCCATCACTAGTGATAGACCCTATCCTTCGCCTTTCTTACCTTCGGGGCAGGCCAGATACTGGCTGCAGCTTTTATCCAGTTGCTCAATGCAGCTGGAAACAGACTTGACGGTGGAGAGAAGGTGATCTGTGAGAGGGAAGACAGGGGAAATGTCAGAGTTCTCACGGCTCACTTCACGCCCGTTAGCTAAGCCACCTGATGGATGAGCCTACCTAGTGAGTGGCCCCAGCCCTACAGGAGCTGCCCTAAGATGGGGGAGGGAGGAAAGATCATTGGCTACGCTGGTACGCGATTCTCCTACTGTAGCTTCAGAAACTGTGCTTCTGAGCCTATCTGGTCCCTTAGCCAAGTTCCAACCACACCGCCAGCCTAGATTCTGCCTCTCATTTCTCATTACTGCCCATTGCATCAGATCCAGGCTTTCCTGGTAAGTCTTTCCAGGCCCTTGGACTCTCACTACTCTTGAGCGCAGACCCATGGCTCTATTAGGCTAATCTACCCTCATGGTCTGCACGCAACACAGTCATTCCCACTACTGTGCCTCTGTGCACAGGTCTGTGGAGGCTGTGCTGCACAGGAGTTAAAATATGGGCTCTTGAGTCACACTGCATAGGTGTGGCTCCTGGCTCTACCAGTACCGGCTGTGACCTCAGGCTGTCTGTGCCTGCCTCCTCATCTGAACACAGAGGCATAAGAGCACCACCCTACAGCATCACTGTGAGGATTCGTGGGACCAGGGCGCGTAAAGCACTTAGAACAGTACCCGGCATACAGCAAGCACTCAGTAAATGTGTGCTGTTTTCATTGTTAGTATTCCCCACTTTTCCTCCCCTCCACGGGTTCATATCTCTCTTCTTCCTTCAAAACCCAGCTCTTACCATCTCTTCTTGGGATCCACCCACAATTGCCCACTTTCTGGCAGTCCCTCAGTGAATTAGGTACTCAGTGTGCCCTTCATCTGTAACTGTTGTTTCCTCACAGATGGGGTCCCTGCTGAATGAGAGGTAATAGTCCTGGCTGTGTATCTCACCAAACCGAGACTTTTCTATCTGATAATAAAAACCAACCATCAGCTGTTTCCTCCTGTCCGCCTTGTGCTCAATGGGACCTCTCATGACTTTGCCAACATGTCCCCTATGCTTGAGAATGAGCTGTAATGAGATCTGCTCGTCGCCACGTCCAGGACTGCATGAATCTCCTGGGCCTGGATGCTCCCCCACCTACTGTGCTCAAAGGCTCCCTCTCATCCAGAGGCTTCTCTGACTCGGCCTCTGCTCCACTCGCGTGCCCTTAGGACTCGAGTACATGCAGAGTGGGCCCCTCTTCACACCTGTGACTGTACAGGGATTTTTTTCACTGTTTCTGCCCCTCCATGCGTTAGGACACCTCCCTGTCTAGACTTGAAGTTCACGAGCAACCATCCCTTGATGCAGACCACATTTTCCTTCTTAGAGAGACACAGGACTGTCTGGCCCTCCTCCTACTGGCCTTTGGAATTTTTATCAGGGCTTTGCTCCCAGTGGGCCTTTCATTAGTGGGATCCACGACTAAAGCACAGTTATCACACCTGGGGGCTTTATAAAATACTACTGCCCAGGCCCTGTGCCACAGAGCTTCTGAATGAACTGATCATGGGGGCGGGGGTGGGCATCCCCAGGCAATCCTGACATGCAGCCAGCTAAGAACCCGAGCTCAGCGTCACATGGGATTCAACACCGACACTGAACAGCATCAAGCTGTACGGCCTCAGCACCCGCAAGCCCGGCAAGGGAGGAGCACCTGCAGGTCCGGTGCAGCTGATGAGAGCGGGCTCCTCAAGCTGCCTCAGGGCCTCTTGTACCATCTGCTCTGCAGCCTTCCTCGACTCCACCAGAAGCATTTTTCGTTGGTTCTTTGCAAGCTGACCCATAGATTCCTAGAAATGGTCCAGGGAGGTTAAAGTCTGCCGTAGATTCCATAATCAGCCTTCGAGCAGCATCCACCTGTGACACAGCTGGGATTCTTGGTATCTTAGCTCAAGCTACTGCCAATGAGGCCCAAGCCAGTTAGCTTGACACAGAGAAAAACTCTTTTACTTTGTTCACAGGTGTGTGTCCCTGAGCATAGGAGGCTACGGGGATAGACCACTGCAACAAGTTGTCCACTCTAGGGGAGAGAGATACGTCCTTTCTATGAAAAAGAAAGAGCTTGCTTTCCCTCATCTGCTCTGTGGGTGACGTACGGCAGGCTGGCATTAGGAGCGGAGCCTACAGAATGCCTTCACAATCAAGCTGACAGCTCCAAGCCCCTTACATAGACCCCTGGCCTCCATGAATATACCACTGAGGCCCCTGGGTGTGAGGTCTGACTGGTCAGCTGGAGCGAGTATCCATTACTTGCCTGTGCGCTGGACAGTCTGAGCTGGGCGTCTTCCAGCTGTTTCTGAAGAGCAGACAATTCCTCCTCTCGAGAAGCCATGGTGTTCACCAAGCTACCCCGCTCCTTCTCTAGTTCGGCGATCTGGGTTGCCCATTTGTCTTGTGACTGCAATGGTGACCACGTGGAAAGAGTGAGTTGCTGGGAGAATTAAACTGTCCCCTTCCCAGAAGTCCAAACCCACCATGAGGCCACAAGGAACAGGAGGTACTCTCTCTTTAATCTGCCACTTCCATTCTCCTGAGAGCGTACTGACCACCGATGGGACCAGGCTGGCCGTATGCTGGATGGTGATGGATGCTGGGTGATAGCAATCCCAAAGCCAGAGGGGAAAGCAATGAGGAAGGGAGAGCAAGGAGGTGATGCTCACCTGGGCGGAGGTCTCCAGGCTGCCCTGGACAATCTGGAGTTCCTGTTTGCTGGTGGCAAGTTCTTGCTTCAAGTTCTCTAGTACTTCCGTCTGTTCTTGAGTCTGAAAGGGAAGAAAACCAGGAGCATTCTGATCTGGGTGGTGGTTACAAGGGATAAACACATGTAAACATCCCCGAGCTATAAATGTGAGATTTGTGTACTCTTTTGTATGCAAGTTTTGCCTCAACAAAAAGTGTGTGTGTGTGAGGGGAGGTGAGAACTTAAGAGTGTACCAAAAATTTTCCTTCTGGCCAAGTGGAATGGCCAGCAGAGAACTGTAGGAACACTTCCCAATGCATGCTTGAGCCCGTAACACTAACTAAAGCAGAACTGGATCTTTGATTCAGGCTTCCCAACACTTGGCACACTGCTGAATCTCAACATCTTGAAATGATTCTCCTTCTTTCTTTTCTTTTTCTTTGTTTCCTTCTTTCTTTTCTAAGTGCTGTTTTTCAAAGAGTAGGTTGTGACTCAGTAAGAACTCACAGCTAACATTTTTTAAAAAATGAAATAGAGCAAAAACATATCCAAATGCATTCACATAGTAAAAATAAGTATTGCTTTGTGAAACTTTTATTTCCACTAGATAGATGTATTTTTTTACTTTGGGTCACAGAAAAGTGTGCAAGCCACTACTCTAAGTGTAAGGCATTCAGTTTTATCCGTCCAACATCTCTTCCTCCACGCTGATCTGCCTGCCAGCCCTACCCCAACACATGGGCGTTCTCCTGGCTGTAAGTCTTTGTAAACGCTCGTCCCCCTCTTTGATATCCACGCACTTTCAATTCTTCAAGCTGTCCTGGAGACTCGCCCTTGGAAAGCCTTTGTTGATGAACTCCGCTCAACCTGGGTCCCTTCAGCACTTCCTGCCTCTAACCGTGTATGCGAGGGTAACCATGTCCTGTTCTACATGGCCTCCTGCAGCCCTCTCACAGGCTCTAACCCACAGAACTGCTGTGGAGCAGACAAGGGCTTTCGATCTGTGCAGTGCCCAAGGTCTGCTTCCAATCGAACAGACCCCTCTCTCCCTCTCCGCGTACCTCTCCTTCCACTCACCTTTCGCTGGGCCTGCTCACTCAGGCGTTGGAAGGAATCCTCTAGCTCTTTTTTCTCTCGTTCCAGATCCACCTGGGCTTGTCTGGCCACAGACACCTGTTTGGTCACCTCCGCATTCTGTAAGGGAAGAACAGTGTCTTGAATTGGCTCATCTCAGGCTTGCAGGACATCTTCCTTCTAGAACAAATGACAGCATTCAGCCCGTGAGAGTCCTAGAGTTGGACACAGAATGACTTTCCTACTCAGAGGGAAGCCAGAATAAAGCCGTCATCTTCAGAGAGTCGACTCTCAAGCATTTACGAGAATAATAAAGATGAGGGATAACACAAGAGGGGCTGGCATCTAAGGTGGAGCTCAAGATAATGGGAGGCAAGTGAGCCTGAAAAGCTGTGGTTCCCAAGAAATGGTGGCGACCCACTAGAAATTGGTGAGGGCACTGGACCTGGAGAAGCCACGAAGCCTGAGTTGCTATCTCCCCTGTGGTGTGGGGTCTGCGCACAGCAAGGGGGAGGTTGAGGGTCCTACCTTCCGCAGCAGGTCAGCGTGGTTCTGCACCAGCTCACTGTACTTTTCCTTTAGTTTGCTGTACCGCTGTTCGTTGGCTTGGGCTTTCCCTGTATTGTCAAGGGCTAGGTGAGGAGGGTACCCTTGCTGGGACACTCTGCCTGCCTTCCAATAAGCCAGGGTCCCTAGAAGATCCTCCTTTCTTTTCACAAATGCATACACCATCTCCCTCAAAAATCCTACTTAAATAAACTCCTCTGGGAAGTTTTCTTGAATAAAGAATTCTCCTGACTCAACCCACTCCACTGACTCCTGCCTCCTGAGCATTTATACACACAGTGTTTACTTTATCAGGCTATCGCTCCTTCAAAGATCCACCCTCCCAGGGCAGGCACTCCATCGTCATCTTCTTTTGCGTTCCCCATCTCCGTGCCTCACGTGGGGCTCTCCACCTGCTGGACTCCAATCCGCCCTCTGACTGGTGACAAGAGTTGGCATTCCTGACAGCTCTTCTGGGCAGACGCAAGCCTGGGGCTCGGCCGCCTCATCCTCCATCCTGAGTCTAGCTAGACTGCACTCTGCACCCCCACCCTCATGCCTACCCCCCACAGCCTCTCACTCTCGATCTCTGTCAGGCTCCGCTGAGCCTTCTCTGTGTCTTCTCGCTTCTTCTTGAGCTCGTCCAGCTCCGCCCGGAGGAACTCGCTGTCGTCGGCCGCCTGCTGCCGCAGGTGCTGCTGCTCGGCCAGCTCGGCCTCCAGCTCGCTGATGCGGCCCTTCAGCTGCAGCACGGCCCGCTGGCTCTGTGGGAGGGACATAGGTAATGTGTCCGCTCGCCTCATGCCATGGTTGGGTGTGCTGGGCAGAAGAAGTGGGTCCTACCATGTTTCCAGAACCAACCAAACAAATACCTAGGTTTTCCTAACAAGCCCACTCCCAAGGCCTCATGAGAATTGAGCCTTCTGGTCATTCCAAGCCACCCAGCCAACAACAACAAGGGATGAGGGCAGGGGAACTCTGGTCCTGTTAGACTGGGAGCAGTGATGGACGAGCTGGAACGAGGAAAGAGAGGATGTCCGCTTGTCCCGTGAGTAATGCCTCTGACCAGCCATGGGTCTGAGGGGCAGGCATATTTACAGCACCAGACACGGCAAACAGCCATCAGAGGTACAGATCAAACCTTCTTATCGCCGTGTGAGAAGAACAGGTCTTTCTCAGCACAGCTTCACAGCCAGTCGGTGATCCCAGCTGTCTCTGAGGATCACAGGGACATGCTGGAGCGTGGCATAAATGCCATTTGCAAGGCAAGTACCATGGAAATGTATTACAATTGAGACCACGGAAGACCAGGTCCTTCTGGCTTTGGCATTTCTACTAACGAAATCCCCTTAAGATGTGGTCCAGCAAGCATCTCTGTGAAGCAAATTTAATATGCAAATCTGTCACGCTCTGGGGAGGCCCAGGCACAGATCAGAGCCCGACGCATACCTCAGTCTTGAAGCTCTCCAGCTGGGCTTTCAGCCCGCTGACTTCTCTGTACAGCTGATCAATTAAGTGACCCCTGGGAACAGAAGAACAAGTCTGCTTCCACCCCCTTCCTTTTAAATGTGAGCTGGGAGATCAGGGGAGGAAGTTAAAAGTTGGTGTTAATTTGGGGACAATTCTCTGAAATTCCATAAATTATACTTTAAGACTATCAGTGTTACCAGATACTCATAATACCCACGGGTCCTCAGTTATTTCAGCCTCATTTGATTTGCCTCTGGGACCAAGGGGGCCAATATTTGAGGGTCAAGACATTTATCTAAGAAGCCCAAGTATCATGAAGCATCCATCTTTGGTTAGGTGTTATGAGTCAGATCACGGCTTCACTTAACTTCTGCACCACCTGCTTTAACCCAGCTTAGACTCACTTCTCATCCTTGTTCACACCATTTTGACTGTTGAAATTGAAGGGATCACTGCTGAATGAGCTGCCAAAGATGTCATCAAACTTGTTGTCAAATAAATTCTGTGGTGACCAAAAAGGATTGAGAACAAAGTTAAAGAGTCAGAGAATTCTGTGTGGGGGTCAAATGAATGACATGTGAGAATGGACCCTTTCTTAATTTGGCTCAAATCCCTTTACGGTCCCTCCCAGGGACCACAGGGCAGGGTGCTCAGTCTAGGTTAGTGCTTGGGTTAAAAGGTGGCTGAATCTGGTTAGAGCCAACGAGCCTTGGCCAGAGCCTCTCCCACCCTCTCCCCTGCACTTGGGGGCAATGGAAAGGGCCAGGTTTCTCTCCCAGTGGTCCTAACCTGCTGGGAGGCATCCATGTCCATGAGGTCATCCTTCTCTAAGACTGGCTCGTTGTCAGGGGATGAGGCCTCGGCTGGGATCACCACCACAGGGCTGATGTGTTCTGACAGGGCAGAGGCTCGTAGGAAGTTGGGTGGGTTCTGAAGAGGCAAGACACATCCTCAAACCGTGCTTACCTGCTGGGCCTGCCAGCCTGGACTCAGCAGATCTTGGGGTATGGTGGGGCACACTTACCTCAGGCAGCTGAGGGATCTGAATGAGTCGCTTGAAGTACTGTAGGTTGCTGGAGCGGTAGAACAGATCTTTCAGCCTAGGGATGGAGAAGGGCCTGAGGGGTGCTGGGAGCCTTCACCAGCCCTGGGGAGGGGACAGGGCAACCACCCACTTTTCCTACTGCCTGCCTAGCCTAAAGGCGCAGGCTGTCAAGGAGATGGCCTCCATGGCGCTGGGATTCAATTATGACGCTACAAAGACAGACTGTTTACAGCCAGTCCTCACGTATCTGGTGGTGAGGCAAGAGTAACTGAAACTACAAAATCCTTTGGGTGAGTAGATAATCCAAAAACTAATTTCTGCATCATTGTAGAATATATGCTGCATTTGGCAACGTATCTTCCTAGGAATGTTTGGTGTAGGGTGATATTAAAATAAATTTATTTTCTCCGAGAACAAACCAACTAACCATAGGAAAAGGGAAGGGAACTTAAGTACTAAGGGAGATCTCCTTTTAATGAATTCACCATGTTTTAGAGCTATTTGTTCTCTCTCCAGTTAGACTATAGCCATGTGCTGCATAACAACACTTTGGTCAATGACGGATCGCATCTATGATGGCAGTCCCATAACATTAGTACCATGTAGCCTAGCTGTGTAGTAGACTATACCATCTAGGTTTAAGAACTGTAGGGGAAGAAGACATTTTACTCTACCCTTCTAGGTCCTTCTGGCTGGTCTAAGAATTAAATTGACATGAGACAGATTAACAGAAGAAAAGCAAACAAAAGTTTAAATGGGAAAAACCCAGGAAAACTGAGTAACTTGCCAAAATGGCTGAAACCCTCACCTTAAAAACCATCCTCAGAGCTAAAGACAAAAGATGTTGGAGGGTGGGGAGAGTCAGTGACTTCAAAGAGAAGGCAGTTCACAGCTAGGTGAAAAGGAGCAAATGTCTGGAAAACAAGTGCTTGGCCACCCAGAAACAGAAGACACAGAGAGGAGCCCCAACAGGCTTTTCTAGGTTCCTCCCTGACTACCATCTAGTTCATGTTAGGCTAAGGTGACAGCTTGCTTCCTGACACAGGATTTTTTTTTTTTTTTTAGAAAGATTGGTCCTGAGCTAACGTTTATTGCCAGTCTTCCTCCTTTTTTCCCTTTCTCTCCCCAAAGCCCCAGTAGATAGCTGTATGTCATAGCTGTACATCCTTCTAGTGGCTCTATGTGGGATGCCACCTCAGCCCGGCTCGACAAACGGTGTACAGATCTGCACACAGGATCCAACCTGGTGAACCCCGGGGCCGCTGAAATGGAGCGCGCGAACCCAACCGCTATGGCACTGGGCCGGACCCAGAGACAGGTTTTTTTATATGAACTCTTTTAGGCAGTTAAGGGGGAGGTAAAAAAGAACGCTGAGTCTTTTCTTTCTTAAAAAAAGTCAGCCTAAAATAATCCTCATGTTAAAGAGACACATTTTTGGGTGGCAAACTTTGTTCCCCTTCAAACACTCTATGATGTTCGCACAACGACGAAAGCACCTAACGACGCATTTCTTAGAATGTATCCCCATCATTAAGCAATCCATGACTGTAGAAGCTTCTAGAGGGCAGAGACTGAGCAGGCATAGAAGAGTTACTCAACAAGTATTCGCTGGAGAAAAACAATTTATCTATACTGTGTCCTAATCTTGGATGAATATGGGAACGAAGAAACTAAAACCTTTTTTCATCCTCAAGTCTCTATTTTGAATCTGAACATGGAAGGCCAAGAAAGCTGAGAGCACCAGACATACTTGCTGAGATGAAAGAGGATCACGGATCTCAGTACCCTCTGTAACACAGAATTTTCTCCAGCTCAGCCCAATAAACTAAACTCCTGGGGTCTCATCACAGCCCTTCAGACGCCAACTTAGGACTGTCCCTGTGACGTCATTGCTGCTTTCTCTGAATTCGAGGACAGTGAGGCCTCAGAGTCACCATGTCTACGTGGAAGAGAAAGTCAGGCGGCTACTCATGGGAGATGTTTTCATAAGCTAGAAAAAATTAAAGGAAATAAAATCACCTGACCACACGTCCCCCTCTTTCTGGGCTGGAGCCAACAGTAACAGGCTTTACTGCTTTCACAAGCTACTGGAATTCAACGTTCCAGGAAATCAGCCCCAGGGCCTGTCTCCTAGGATTTAATAAGTCATTTATTCTAGAATAAACATACGAGGCTTTTCAAACGGAACAAGGAAACCAGGAGGTTAGTGTGACCCTGAATTTGTCCTGATTGCTGCTTGGGGACCAGCAAGAGGAGCCTGAGCTTGGGATTTGGGAGCTACGCTTTCCCTGTTGTCAAGGGTGAAGAAATGAACAGGAAAAACGAGAGCGTCAAAACAGACAGTGCTAAGCCACGAGGCCTTCTTGCTCCTTCGGTTCTCCTGTCTCTCGCTCCACTCCTTCCCCTCTTCCTGGACACATTTAATTGAAAGATGAGCGGTACTTCTCACCGAGTCACCCATTTTCTTTCCCAAATGCTCCAGAATAATTTACCCCTTAGTGAGACAAGGTCTTCCTCTTCTAGACTAGATAGCTGGCTTATTAGCTCATTAATTCATTCAAATATTTATAAACACTATATGCTTAATTGCATGCTATGCATCAGGTGCTGGGGTTATAACAATGGACAAGACAGTCAAACAGATATAAAGTTGTGCTAAGAACTATGAAGGAGACAAATAGCATGCTGTGATGGACAATTCGGGGGTGGGAGCTGGAGTTGGAGGAATAGGAGATGGGGAAGAAGACTCCACTTCAATAAGGCGGCCAGAGACTGCCTTTGTGAGGAGGTGACCGAAGACGACCCGGAGCTAGCCAGGCTGAGAGAAGAGCCCAGAGAGAGGGAATAGCAAGCATGAAGGCCCTGACGGAGGAACGTGCTGGGTGGGCTCCAGGAACTGGAAGGGGACCCCGTGTGGCTGCAACACTATGAGCACTGGAGACGAGGTCAGACATGGCAGGCAGGCGCCAGACTGTGCAGGGCCTTGTAGACCTCAGAGAAGAGCTTGGATTTATTCTCAGTGGAATCAGAAGACATTAAATGGTCTTGAGCAAGGGATTTATGTTTTTACAAGGCTGTTCTAGCTGCTGGGTCAGGATAGGACGGTAGGAGGCAGGAGTGGAAGTCCCGGGCATCCTGTCAATGTTGGAGGGTCCTGTTAGGCAGCAGTGGGAGCTGAAGAGATGGAGATACGGTTGGAGCCCAGATACATCTGTAGAGCATCAACTGAAGCTGCTAATGGATGGACATGGGGGACGAGGAAAACGGTGAGTTCCAGATCTCTGGCCTAAGTGGATGGTTGCAGTATTTATGGAGATAGAAAACACTGGGGAGAAAGGTTTTTCGAGGAAAACTTAGAGTTCAGTCTGATATTTAAGTTTGGGGTAGAGATGTCAAATGACAATGAGAGATGGGGATTTGAAGGTGAGGTTCGGCTAGAGAGAGATACATTTGGCAGTTGTTAGCACGTACGTGGTATAAGACCAAGAGAAATTAGGGAGAAGAAAAAGCAAAGAGGATGAAGCCCTGGGCATAGAGCAGGTGACGAAGGAACCCATGAAACCTCCTTCTGTGTGCTTCTGTGGGATTTATTGGAGAACTGACAGCTTCCTCAGCCCGAGTTTGCTGCTGTCCTAGTTATTTTCCTTCACTTTATTGCCTTAAAATGCAGATATCCTCATCCTTCAATTATTTTAAAGCAAGTGCTCTCGCAGGGATTAACCGATTTTATAGCACTTCTTGGTCTGCCTTCATTTCCATCACGTAAGCCACTTACTTTGTGAACTGCTCCAGGAAGCGGTCCCGGTGGCCTTGCAGGGTGTCAGCTGGGAGGCCTGGAGGAAATTGGAAAAGAATGAGAAGGAGAGGAGGACCAGCGGGCAGGCAAGCCACAGCAGGGCTCTGGAGGGGGGGGACCATCCTTCCTGGGGCTTGTGGCCAGCCCTGTTGGGGGGCATTCCCGGTCTAGAACTGCCCTAGCACTGGGAACCACGTGGCCCAGTGGGACCAGCAGAGTCTGGGGGCACTGATCCTCCAAATCTTTCCTTCCGTTTGCTCCCAGAGTGCGAGCCATTCTGGGCACAGTGGGCTGGAAGCTGTGTCCCTGACCACAGAAGAAGCAGTGACCAGACCAAGCAGCAGGATGGACCATGGCAGGTCCCGGTGGTGTGGTTCTCTCCCAGGGGTGTATGCACTGGGTGGGGCCCAGGGTGGACGTTATTCTGGAAAAGATCCACAGAGCCTGCCAAAGAGGATGCCTGTCAGAAAGCAAAGACTACAGGACTAAGACTTGGGGATCTAGGTCCAGTGTCTGCCTGGTCACTGCTAATTCTATGACACTGGATGAGCGGTGGCCTCTTAGGGCCAACCTCCTCCCCTACAGAGCAGGGTCTCTGACATCCTTTCACCTCCCAGATTGTGTGATTCTGTGTATCTCAGCTATAGATCACAACTCAGTGATCCTTTTATTTTTTAAATTTAAATTTTAGTAATTTTCGAATATTCATTTGGTATAAATAGGATACATATAAGGTGTGATAATTCCAAAGGGCAAAAGGGTACAACGGATGACAATGGCACTTTACCTCAGTGATCTTTCTCCTATGAACCCTTAACCCCAGTCCAATCACGAGAAAAACATTGGACAAACTCCAATTCTACAAATATCTGACCAGGACTCCTCCAAACTGTCAAGGTCCTCAAAAACAAGGAAAGTTTGAGAAACTGTCAGAGCCAAGAGGAGCCTAAGGAGACAAAATGACTGACTGTAATGTGGTCCCTGGATGGGTTCCTGGGACAGAAAAAGGACACTGGGTAAAAACTGTGGGAATCTGAATAAAGTATGGACGTCCATTCACAATAATGTATCAAAATTTGTTCATTAGTCGTGACAAATGTATCATATTAATGTAAGATGTTAACAACAGGGGAAACTGGGTTCAGGGATATATGGGAACTCTCTGAACTATCTTTGCAACTTTTCTGTAGATCTAAAACTGTTATAAAATAAAACCTTTATTTTTAGAAAAGTATATACTGTGTGGAGTGTCCCTCCCCCCTTTTCCTCCAGCCACGTGGTTCCCCGGCCCAGAGGCAGTCTGCGTGGGTCTTGGCCTTTAAACCCAAATACTTAATTACTTGCCTCTTCTCCTAACTTACCACTTCATAAGGAAGTGGAAATGATGTAGTGGGCAACTGGGTTCCATAGCATCACAGCAACAACCACAGGTTCATCTATTCAGAGCTTCCCAGCAACCGCCTGCCGCCTTCTCTTGGGGTTTAGTCCGATCTCTGCTCTCTTCAGGCACGCCCACTGCTCCAAAGCCTTTCTAACCCTTGAACATCGAATTCCAGCCTCCCTTCCACAAAGCCTCCTGGACTAATCAGAGCGATGCTGCTTCCTCTGTCCTGTCTAAGTAACCAGATCTCCTTGCCAGTGACCACAGTTCCAGAGCAGCCCTTGTCCTCGACTTCTAAAATAAAACCTTGCTAGGATCCACTCATGCTTTGACTTTTCTTGGTTTTCCACCATCCACACACTTTGCATGTGTATGTCCTTCACGGTGGCCACCTCAGAGTGGCCCAGGAACCACCTAGATTCTAAATTAGCACATGGTTTAACAATGCAGACCCTGAACCCACCAGACAGACTAACGTGGACCCTGCAGGACCCCCACACACCATTTCAAACAAGAAGCACACAAAAGTACGAGAACTTCTGCAAAACCAGTAGTTTCCAATATATATTGTACGAAAGCATCCCGGGGATCTGTAGCTAGTAAGGGATGGCCCTCCATTTACCTGAGCAGCTTCTGTTTTATATTTTATATTTCTCTACAAAATTCCATTTGTACAAAGAGACTGTGACGATGAACACTTTGGAAACCACTGCCTTTGCTCCTGTGGTCTAGGCCAGGTCTGTTATCATTTGTGTGGTTCCTAGAATACATGACGTGTATGGATGGAGATGTGGTAAAGCCAGTAGTGGAGGAAGAGGACATCCTGGGACATCACTATGGCAAGCCAGGCACTCACGGGGCACACCAAAGCTGACACCCTGCTCTTCTAAAGTCGCTCCAGGGTCTTTTGGAACAGAAGCAGACAGGGCACTGAACGGAGCTGTATTTCTCCAGGGACAGCCTCAGGCTGTGACCCTCCCTCTGGCCAGAAGCTCACGGAAAGGACTTGGCCCTGTCAGGGGTACTCACAGGAGTGGAGTTTGAAGAGCAGCTTGACGGTGTAATCATAGAGGTGGCTGCAGTCCAATATGACCTGGATCAGCGGGGCGAGGCGGCACTGCCCAGCTGTCGTCACTGACACGGAGCGGGACATGTCCAGGGAGTTGAACACTAGGGAATAAAAGGCGGAGAGAGGCAGCAGAGCTAGGAGATGAAGGTGGCCTTCTCAGAGGGGCAGAAGGCAAGGGGTCTAACAGCCGCTGAGGACCTAGTCTGTGCACACACTGTCTCATTGAATGCATTTAACCCTACGACACTCCCGTGGGATGGGTAAAGGTGTCCCCGCCATACAGGTGAGGGAACTGAAGGGAAGTGACCTGAAGGTGGTCAGAGAGCCAAGAAGTGGTTTTGCTGAGAGGTGGCGAGGTAAAAGACAGAGCCCATGTGGTCAGCAGCGGCCAGAGCAGGAGCCTGTGCTCCTGTTGGCCAAGCTGCTCCATGTGTCCTAACAGCTGAACTCTGCTGTACCTCTAGCCCTGTGGAAGCCCGGAAAGAAGGGATGTACTCACAATCTGGGGGAGGGCCTAGAATGAGGAGAATCCCTTCCTTCCTGTCTTTGAGGAGCTTCATGGTCCCTGCCCCCAGTCTGGTCAGAAAGACAGAACACATCATCTTTCAGAGTTTCTGATTTAATGGGGAGATGGGCTATTGTTCAAGGGAAGCCCTCAGTTTTACAGGACTCAATTTCAGGGTTGAAGGGGCTGTTGAGATAGCTACCGCAGCCCCACTCCTCTCGCATGAACTCAGTCGGACGGTAACCTGACGCTGAGCAGCGCCTGACCTGGTGGTGCAATAGTTAATATGGGGGGAAAATAGCAAGCGTTGGTCGGAACACGAAGAAGGGAATAAGCCAGCCTTGGCGTCCTGCTGGCCGGCCGCAGGGCTGTTGGGACACCAGAAGAGGGATATACAGAGCCCCAGGGGGATGATTGGAGAGCCTGCGAGGGCCAGGGTGAGGGGCTGGGAGGAAGACAAGCCATCAGGGTCAAAGGCTGATGGAGGGCCTTGGGGGGGCCGGTCAATGGAAGCATTGCCTTCCACTCCCCCGAGCTCCAGAGACCCCTCCACAGTACCCTCTGCCCCCTGCCCCTTGCTCCTAAACCAAGCAGCTCGATGCCTGGCCATGGCCCCTCAGCGCACACCACCGGCCAGGGCTGATTTCCTGCCTGCAGTGGCTGCCCACCGCCTCTGGAGACTCCGCACGTGGCCAGCAACTTCCCCCTCAGGCCCTCAGTGACTGGGACTGCCCTGGAGCAGTCTAGAGCCGCTGTGCTCGCCCTTCCCTGACTGCACTAATCCCTGCTAACTGGCTTAGACTGGCAGCCGGAAAAAATCCCAAGCTATTCTAATTAAAAGGCAGCTGTTCTTCTTGACACAAATTAAAAGCAGCTGTCACTGCAAGGTGGCCATCCCCAAGTCTACTGGCTTCCTCAGGCTCCACTCTGGCAAGGAATCACAGACTGCTCCTCTCCCAGCCTGCCCTCTGCTGTCCAGGAATACCCCTCAGCATGCGGTAACATCCAGTGCAGTGTGACTGTGGACAAGTTACTCAACCTCTCTGTATTTCTGTAAAGTGTAGATGCTTCTAATATCACATACCTCATAAAGACCTTGTAAGAACTGCATGAGAATGTCATGCAAAGTACATAGCATTGCGCAGTGGGTCTCAACTTTGGCTTTGAGATTGATTAGAACCAACTGGGGAAATTTGAAAACTACTGTCTGCCTGCAACTCCCCCTCCACACCCCCGCATTGCTTTATTTGGTCTGGGGTAGGGTTGGGGCATTGGTAGGTTTCAAAAGCCCCCCAGCTGATTCTAATATGCAGCCAGGGTTGAAAACTATATTTCCTAGCTCAGTGGTTCTCAAACTTGAGCATGCATCAGAACTGCCAGGAGGACTGTCTGGTAGAATTCTGTGATGACGGAAGTGTTCTATACGGGCTGTCCTATACGCTAGCCACATGTGGCTACTGAGCGCCTGAAATATGGCTAGTGTAACTGAGGAGCTGATTTTTTAATGTTATTTAATTGTAATTAATTTAAATAGTCACACATGGCTAGCGGCTACCATACTGAACAGTGCAGACCCGGGGGCCTTATTAGAACACACATGGCTGGGCCCTACCTCCAGAGAGTCTGATTCAGTAGGTCTGGGGTGGGAACTGAGAATTTGCATTTCAAGTTCTCAGGTGATGCTGATGCTGCTGGTCCAAGGACCCCACTTTGAGAACCACTGCAAATGCTCAAAATAAATGTTAACTAATTTGCCCATGTTTCCCACCGTTGAAAACCAGTGGCACCCTTCTGGGGTATCGGTTGGAACCCTGCAGGTCACAGACTAGGACTCAGAAGCTAGAGAGACTTCTTCCAAAGCCACTTCTCTTGATTTTGGTGGCACGCAGTAGGTGACTGGGGACAGGGAGGGGAGCTGGGGAGATATGCAGCAGAGGGCTCTTCATTCCAAATCAACGCCCGCCCAGGAACGTGAAAGCCACTGCCATTTAACCATGTAGGGGTTTGTGCAAAGACTTGGGGTAGCTCTCCTTGAGAAAACTCTAAGTATCACCTCTTGTGTCTTCACTGGTGCTTATCTAAAGCAAGCTTACTCGAATTTTTCTGTTGAGCATTGCTCTATTCCAGGCACTGGGCTAGAGGAGAGGGCCTTCAAAGATGAGCAGGGCATGGGTCCTGCTCTGGAGGAGGAGCTCAGCGTCTAGTGGTAACAATACAAGCGATCAACGCATATCAAAGCAGCCAGGTATCACTGGATGTGGGAGCGAAAAGGATGACTGAGCTGGCCACTAGGGCGGGGCATTCGCCTGCATTGTAGCATACACGTTCTCCTGGCCTCCTCAAGTCCTGTCGGGTGTTATCACATCTCTGCTCACTCCACTCCCAGTCTGTCAGGGCTGGAAGGGACCCTGCAAAAGCTGAAACATTTGACTTGCTTCCCACCCACTGCAGCAGTGGCAGGCAGGCTCCGAGGAGGCCAGAACTGCTGGCAGAGAGCTTGGGTCAGCGGAGTGGCAACTTCTAGACAGGACTCTCCCAAGGATGACAATTCCTAGTGTATCACTTAGACCTGCATTCAAATCCAGCACGTTCCAAGCTGAATGTCAATGAATTCTGAATTATCCACATAGGCCCTTTCCACCCAGAGCTAAATAACTAAAAATTAGCACACAACATGCAGTTGTTTGCACACTTTTACGCAAACATTTCCAATGCATTTAAAAAAAATGTGTCCACACACACCATTTCTCCTACCTGGCTGGGAATGCCTCAGGGCAGGGGCTGTATTTTGAGTGTTGTTTTGACTTCTCCACTGACATTTGTTTTGAGCAGGACTTCTCCCTGCTCAAATAGGTTGCTAATAGGCCGAATACCTTATTTCTCCCACAAACCACGGTTTCTATTTCTGCTGTTTCTCTGACTACATCCTGCACTGAACTAATGGGTCAAGCAGGAAGGAATGTGCCGCCCGGTCACAGGCCTGGTACAGCGCTGGGTCACAACAGCCTGGTTGAGAGTGTCTGCGGCACAGATGAGCATGCCGAAGGAAGGTGAAATTTAGGGCGAGACAGTCTCTGTCCTTCATGAGGGAATCAAAGTGCCGGGAGCAGGCCCTGCCTGTCCACATGCCGAGAAGGTTGCCTAGCTTCTGCATGAAAGCTCGCAGTTTGGAACGTACTCTTCTGTGGAGTTGGACACTCGTCGTGGAACATGTTGAATTTTAGAAAACTAGCTCTTCCGTTCCCCAGGGAAAGAAGAGGGAGCCAAGCAGGGAGGGTGGGAAAGAGAGGGCACAGGAGAGAGGGGAACTGGCTGCCTCCTTCCCAAGTCTTGCTGGGAAGTGTTAGGGGCTGACAGCCCAGAGGCACCAGAACTCTCGGCAGAAGGGGGCCCAGAAGAGCGGCCAACTGCCCCGCTAGCAGAACAGGACTTCGTGGGCTTCTCACGTGGACTTGGGTAACAACCCAACTCAATCAGCTTTCTCCCCCCGCTGCTGACCAAACAGCCGATCGGAGCCCTTCCTGCTGAGCAGAAATCTACCCTGAGTGCCAGCCCAGCTGAAGCAGACAGGGCTGGGCCACCACAGGGCTGTCAGAGGTTGGACCTGTCCTTGGACTCTGGAGAGGCCAGCAGGGCAGCAGTGGTCTGTCTGCTCAGATATGAAATCACTGACTCGGAAAACGTCCAGGAACTTCAGCCCCTCCCGGCATGAGGGATGGAGAGAGCAGAGACAGGGTGTGGATATCTCCATTTTCCTGGCCCTGTGCTGCACAACTTGTAGGGAAAGGGGGGCTAGGCTGGCTGGTCCAAGCAGGGAACAAGGCTGGGAATGAGGCAGTTCCCATGAGGGCCTGGGCCAGATGGGATGGAGAGACTCACCAGTTTGGAAGAGGTTAAGTTCGCACTCCAGGTAGTCGAACATCTCCACTGTTAGCTGGAAACTGGGTCCAAGAGGACAGAGGTCTTAAACTCCATAGCCTAAGGCCAATGCTTCCCCTGTCCCTTCCCCCGTGCTCTATGCTGCTGCCTCCAGCCCCAATGCACACGCGCCTGCACGCACACACCAGCTCCAATTATTGCCCCCCCATTTGAAGATCAAGCAGGGTGAATTCAACAGTGACAGTGGCAATGGGAGAGGGCAGGTACCACGCTGGATTGGGAGGGTGGAGGGTAACACGGAGAAGAGAGCCCCGGAGTGTGCGACAGCCTGGAAGGGTTCTGGATGAGGCACCAGCAGCAGGTGGCCCCGAGGCCAAGTCACCCAGGGACTTGAGTTCCCACCCCAGCCACTGCCCCTGCCATCAGGCCCTCTGTGACCCTAACTGGAAGTGACAGCATCTACAAAGGCTTTCTTCCCCACTGGGTCCAGAGCATGACGATGGCCACTCACAAGTTGTTAACATCACTCTCTCCAGCCTCATCCAGCTGCCGGTCACTCATCTGAAGGTTGCCTGGGAACCTGGGATTCTGGAAGGGAGGCAGAGGAAGGAAGTTAGAACTGGGCACCTCAAGAGCTCACGGGCCAATGAAGCTGCCATCAAGCAAGCTGTCTCCACTGAGCTCAGGCAGCGGAAGGCCGGATCCTGCTGGTACGGCACGTACTCGTATGGCGCCTCCACACACAGACCCCTAGAATGGCTCACAGCGAAGAACATCCATTCCCCATCACTGGAGGCAAAGGCTCCACCCATCCCTGGGAGCCAGGAGAGAGTCCTCCCTAACAATCTGTGCCCCGGAACATTCTTTTAAAGATACTCTCCTGTGGCACAGTGACACCGAGCATGTGAGAACAGTCCGCTCCCAGCCATCCACAAGACGCAGGCATTTGCTCATCCCCAGAACATTCTGAATCCTACCCAGGCTTCCCCCTGTCCTGTGGCCATTTCCCAAAGCCGCTACTGTGAGTTCAGGGAAGGCAAACCCATTCTCATACTAGCTTTAGCAAAACATAATTAGTAAAATAAACCTGAAGTTGGGAAAATATTACATCATGCACCCCAAAGTCAGGAGAAATTGTTTTGTATCATCAATCTTGCTGAGTATCTGTATCATTCCCTCTTCCCCAGTGCGGTCTGTCGAGAGTGGATGGAACACAGGGCAGAGCCTCAGGTGGAGATGGGCACAGAGTGATGGGCGGCCAGTCCATCGGGGGGTTCTAAACTCCAGTGCTAATACTTTAGGCTCTGAAGACAGAAATCCTCCACTCCAGCACCTCACCCTCTGGCTTGACACCCAGCCCTCTGTCTGTGAGGGCCTCTCCTGCTCTCTGGCCCCCACTCCTGCTCCTGTCTCAGAGCTGGCCAATTCCTTATTGCCCCCTTCTGGCCGTATGTACTTCCTCCCTCAGTCTGGACGTTACGGTGACCTGGTCCCCTCCTCCCACGCCCTCGCCACTCTTGCCTGTCCTTCCACTACACTGCTGTTAAACCTGGTGAGCCTGCATCTTCGTCACATGCTCCGTGCTTAGGACCAGCTGCCAATCTCCCCGGAGAAGGACTCACAACTGGCATCACTATTAACTCATGCTCTCTAGCCTTAGCACCCCATAACAGTCCTTGCTGCCCCAGCCAATTCCGCTTTCTGTCAACAACTGTCCCACTCGCACACCTGGTGCCTGACTCCCAGCACGTGCCTTCCTTCTTACACCATGCAGTAACTCCCTCAGCATCCTGCTTCCCTCTCCCTCCCCCACTTTGAAGGTACCCAGCTGTCCTTCTGCCCTCCAGCTTCAAAAGAGAAGGGCTGCTTCTTTCCTGACTCAGGATTGGCCCCTCCTTGTGTGCTCTTCACTCTGATCTAGGTTCTGGTTCATTCTGTCACTCATCCCACAAGTCCTGATTGAGCCCGTGCTCTGGGCTAGATGCTGGGCCACACACGAGACACAAGGAGACACGCACACATGTTCTCTGTCCTCTCGGAGCCCACTGTCTCCCTGCGCTTCTGCCCCTCTTCCTGTCACTTAAACCTTTCCCACGGCCCCACATCTCCCTCCAGTTATCGCCTCTCTCTCCTCCCTTCCTGACAGTCTTCAGGAAGTCCCACAGACGACTGTCCTAGTTCTGGCTCTCACCATCTTCCACACTGACAGCCTGGCTCTCCCCGAGTCACCCTCCACACTGTGACTAGGATGGTCTCACACAGCTGCCCAGTCACCTGCCACTCTCCACTCTGCCCGCTCCTCGCACTAATGTGGATCTACTGCTAGTTGCACACGAACAGCAAACTGTTCCGGGGCTCGTGCCCTACATCTCCAGCTGATCCCTCTGTCTGGAACGCCCACCCCACTCTTCTTCATCGGCCCCCTCCTCTCTATCTGCCATGTGGCCGACTGGGGTCTGGGGAGGGGGGAGCATACGCTGCAGGAGGGAGGGAGGGAGGGATGTGAACTGCGGGGCCAGAGGAGGACTGCGGCCGATGGCATTTTCCAGCGATGGCTATTACAACACATCCCATTCAACACGTTCTCTTTACAACGTGACTTTGACATTTCTTCCTTTGAGTCTAGGTATCTCTGTGACTGCCTCAGTCAATACAGGACAGTGCCAGGGGTGTTTCACGACTTCTGAGGCTAGGTCATAGAAATGCCACGCACTTCTACCTTGTTCTCTTGGGATGCACGCCAGGCTGTGAGGAAGCCCTGACTAGCGCCGCGACGCCATGAAGAGAGAGATGCCAGGCCGGTCCCTCCCGTTCCAGCTGCAGCCAGCATCTGCCTCAACCACATGAGGGACCTCCGGCCAGAACTGCCCAGCGAAGCCCGCCTGGAACTCCTGCCCGCGGGAAGTGTGCGAGATAACAATGGACTGCTGTTGTTTTAAGCTACTAAGTTTTGGGGTGCTGTGTTATGCAGCACAGAACTGGAACACTCCAAGGCCGAGCTCGGTGTCACTGCCTCTGACAAGCCTACCAGGTTGTCTGAGTCGGGGCCAGACGCCCCCTCACATGCTTTGTACCACCCTCTGCCTCTCTCAGTTCCAGTGCTTAGTGTACGTGTCTATCTTCTTTCCCTCCACCACCTCTCTCCCACCAGACTACGCCGCCCCAGGGCAGGGGCAGAGTCTATCCACCTTTCTCTCTTCAGAGCCTGACCTAGTTCTGGCCCAGGGAGGCACTCGACCACACACGAGGGGAGGAAGGGGCAGCCACTGAGCACAGAACAGTTTTGGTGTCCTATGGGCACCTCACAACTGAGGAGTCACGTGGCTCAGGCAAGGGACTCGAGCACTCTTCAAACTCTACTTTCTCAGGATATAATAATGTCTACTTTATAGAGTTGTTGTGAGGACTAAATGATGTACAGAAAAGATTTAACAGACTAGGATTGTTTCAATGAATCGAAGCTACCCTCCAAGTACATCAAAGACAACAAATTACGTTATTTCTTCTTAAATCTCCTCCCTTCTCTGTTTCTACTGCCAGCTCCCTCATCAGGCTGTTCTCTCTCCCACCTGGCATGCCATTCTCTCCCACTACTTACTAGCACCACACCCATCCCTCAAGGTCCTCTTCAAGCCCCCTTCCCTCCTTTTACCCTTTCAGACACCATGACCCTCCATCACTTCAGAGCGCCCCTACCTCTTGTCTATAGGCACACAGCTGCTTTGCACGGTCACACGGCTACTGCCAGGATGTAAGCCTCCTCCCCCAAAGAATCCACAAACTCCTGAGGAGCAGACCCATCACCTATTCTTATATGCCACCTGGAACCCAGCATACAGTTTTACACGTTAGGTGCCTGAAAAGTACTGACTAAAGTCATAAATTGATTAAAAGAAGGTTCTGTGTGGAAACTCACTACATAAATGGGATGAATTGTTTTTATTAACAGGAAAGTCAGTTCTTCTAAAACATTTTCGTAAGGCAACCTAGCGGATAGGGTTCTTCTATTTGTAAAATGGGGAACAAAAGGTGCAGAGATATGGGCCCAAATCCCACCCCCTCGTCACACCCTGGGCCCGACTGTGGTTGCCGGATAAAATGTTTTCCTCTCATACAGCTGGGATGTGGTATAAACACTCCCGGAGGGGCCCAGGCTGTCTTAGTCCCAGAAAGACCTGACAATTAAGCCCACAGAGGGGTGAGGGGGCTGTGGGGGAAGGAGCCAGCGGTGGTGGCAGAATTGTCGGCAAAGACTCACTTTGGTGTGGTACTCCATCTTTGTTCTCAGCAGTTTGAGGTAGATGCTACAAAGCTGTCCATATCCTTCACTCAGGTGGCCCTTTCAGGAAGAGGAAAGAAAGTAGGTGTCAACACTAAGGACCTTTGGGTTGAAAGCCAGGACTTACTTACTTTCTTTCCCTATCTATCTATCTATCTATCTATCTATCTATCTATCTATCTATCTATCTACCTACCTACCTACCTACCTACCTATCTATCCATTCATTCATTTTTGTGAGGAAGATTGTCCCTGAGCTAACATCTGTTGCCAGTCTTCCTCTATTTCTTTGTATGAGTGATGCCACCACAGCATGGCTTGATGAGTGGTGTGTTGGTCTGCACCCGGGATCTGAACCTGCAAACCCCGGGCCACCAAAGCAGAGCATGCGAACCCAACCACTATGCCACTGGGCCGGCCCCTTGGACATCCTTTGTTTAAAGAATTTTTTTTCTTGTGATTATGAAAATCACAAACGTCCATTGTTGAAAATTTGGAAAATATAGAAAACTACAGACAAATAAATCCTCCTTAATCTAACCACCAGATATAATCATGGCTAAAATTTTAGGGTATAAAGTGTTATTTTATTTTATTTTTTTCAATTTAAATAGACTTTATTTTTAGAGCTGTCTTAGGTTCACAGCAAAATTGAGCATAAAGCACAGGGAGTTCCCAAATACCCCCTACCCCCACACACACAACCTCCCCCACTGTCAACATCCGGCACCAGAGTGGGACATTTGTTACAACTGATGAACGTGCACTTTGGGTCCCTATCACCCAAAGTAAAGTTTACATTAGGGGCTGGCTCTGGCAGTGTACATTCTGTGGGTTTTGACAAACGTATAATGACATGTATCCACAATTACAGTATCATTCAGAGTAGTTTCACTGCCCTAAAAATCCTCTGTGCTCCACCTTTTATTTTAAAATATAAAATAGAATCCATTTTTTTTACTTAATATACTGCATTTTTTTCTATCTTTTTAAATTTTCTTCCATATCATTATCTTTAGTGACTGCCCAGTACATACTATAATTCATCAAACCAATTCCCTACCGTTGTACGTTTTTTTGTAGGCAACTTTTTCTTTTTTCTTTTTTGTGAGGAAGATCAGCCCTGAGCTAACATCCATGCTAATCCTCCTCTTTTTGCTGAGGAAGACCGGCTCTGAGCTAACATAACTATTGCCAATCCTCCTTGTTTTTTTTTTCCCCAAAGCCCCAGTAGATAGTTGTATGTCATAGTTGCATATCCTCCTAGTTGCTGTATGTGGGACGTGGCCACAGCATGGCCGGAGAAGCGGTGCATCCGTGCGCGCCCGGGATCTGAACACGGGCCGCCAGTAGTGGAGCGCGTGCACTTAACTGCCAAGCCACGGGGCCGGCCCATGTAGGCAACTTTTTCTATCATAAACTATATTTCAATGAACATTCTTAGAGTATAATCCTGTGTGCAAACATGAGGACTTGCTTTGGATAAATTCTGGCCAAGGCTTCTTATTTAAGAATTTTAAGTCTCCCATCCTTAGTAATCACGTTCTGGCTATAGGCTCTTTCCTTCCTTCTCTCTGTCCATCTAAGCACTGGAGAGGAGATGCCTCCTCCAGATGGACTCTGACAGACTAACAGCATCTACAGTATTACATGTGGGATGGGGATTTGAAATGGGACCCATCTTAGCTGAAGAATAAGCCTCCCATGGAGTCTGCCCATGCCATCACATCCTGGGGGCCTGGGAAGAAGCCAGGATTAGCAGAGTGATGCTGGCAACTCCCAGTTATATACAAAAGAGGAGGGAAATGGGGGCACAAAGAACCCTTAAACTGAATACCTGTGGCTCCCATATAAGTTTTGACTTCTACGTTTTTTTTTTAGTGCATATATATCCTCTAGAGTAAAGGAACCCCATTGAAACCTGTCTCAAAGGGCACCAAAGGGGGGTGAGTAATCAGGGGAGGTTAAAAATAGCAATGGCAGAGATGACAGTATTTCCTAATGTATTAATTTTCTATGAAAATTCATATTTTATTGATTTTTTACATTATACTTGTCCACCATAGAAAAATTAGAAAGTAGTAAAAAGTAGAAAAAGCAAAAAATATGCTCATCACCAAACTATACTATACTATACTTCCCATGAAAATGCACAAGGATCAAAAAGTAAAAGATGAATGAATCACAGGCTTGAACGTAAAATGCAAAACTATAAAACTCCTAGAAGATGACAGAGGAGAAAACCTAGCTAACCTCAAGTAGGGTGATGACTTTTTAGATGCAACACCAAAGGCACCATCCATGAAAGAAATAATTGATAAGCTGGACTTCATTAAAATTAAAAACTTCTGCTCTGCAAAGACACTGTCAAGAAAATGAGAAGATAAGCCACAGACTGGGAAAAAATATTTGAAAAAGACACATCTGATAAAGGACTGTTATTCAAAATATACAAAGTACAGTCACATACCATATAATGATGTTTTGGTCAACAATGGACAGCATACTCAACAGTGGTCCCGTAAGATGAGTACCACGTAGTCTAGGTGTGTAGTAGGCTACATCATCTAGGTTTGTGTATTGTAGGGGAGGAAGAAATTTTCCTCTACCCTTCTGGGTTTTTCTGGCTGGTCTAAGAAATTGACTTGAGATAGATTAACAGGAAAAAAACAAACAAAAGTTTAATAACATGTATACATGAGAGAAACCCAGGAAAACCTAGTAACTTCGCCAAGATGGCCGAAGCCCTCACCTTAAATACCATCCTCAGGTAAAGACAAAAGAAGATGTTGGGGGTGGGGAGAGTTGGGGACTTCAAAGAGAAGGCAATTCACAGGTAGCTGGAAAGGAGCAAACATTGGGAAAACAAGTGCTTGGCCGCCCAGGAACAGAAGCACACAGCGGGGGCCCAACAAACAGGCTTGTCCAGGTCCCTGCCTGGCCACCACCTGGTTCATGTGACACTAAGGTGAGAGCTCAGTTCCTGAGACACGTTTTTTTAATCTGAATTCTTTTAGGCAGGTAACGGGAGAGGCAAAAAGAAAAACTTTCTCAGTCTTTTGTTTCTTAAAAATAATCAGCCTAAAATAATCCTCATGTTAAAGAGACACATTTTGGTGTGGCAAATTTTGTTCCCCTTCAGTACACTCTGTGCTATTCACACAAGGATGAAATTGTCTAATGATGCAATTCTCAGAACGTATCCCTGTCATTAAGTGATGCATGGCTGTATTCTTTTTTTTTTTGTGAGGAAGATCAGCCCTGAGCTAACATCCGATGCCAATCCTCCTCTTTTTGCTGAGGAAGATTGGCCCTGGGCTAACATCCGTGCCCATCTTCCTCCACTTTATATGGGACGCCGCCACAGCATGGTTTGGCAAGCAGTACGTTGGTCTGCGCCTGGGATCCAAACCCATGAACCCCGGGCCGCCAAAGCAGAGTATGCGAACTTAACTGCTATGCCACCGGGCCGGCCCCATGACTGTATTCTTAAACTCAACAATGAGAAAACAACCTGACTGAAAAATGGGGAGGCCGGCCCAGTGGTGTAGTGGTTAAGTTCACGTGCCCTGCTTCAGTGGCCCAGGGTTCGCAGGCTCAGATCTCAGGTGCGGACCTACACACTACTCGTCAAGCCATGCTGTGGTGGCATCCCATATAAAGTGGGGAAGAAGGGCACAGATGTTAGCTCAGACTGATGTTCCTCACCAAAAAAAGAAAAAAAAGGGCCAAAGACCTTAACAGACACCTCACCAAAGAATATATACAAAGCTGGAAAATAAGCATATGAAAAGTTGCTCCACATGATATGTCACCAGGGAAATGCAAATTAAAACAACAATAAGATACCATTACACACTCAGAATGGCCAAAATCCAGAACACTCACACCACCAAATGCTAGTGAAGATGTAGAGCAACAGGAACTCTCATACATTGCTGGTGGGAATGCAAAATGGTGCAGCCACTTTGGAAGACAGCCTGGCAGTTTCTTACAAAAATAAACATACTCTTACCATACAATTGGGCAATGGCGCTACTTGGTTTTTACCCAAAGGAGCTGAAAACTTATGTCCAAACAAACACCTGTACACGGATGTTTGGAGCAGCTTTATTCGTAACTGCCAAAACTTGGCGCAACCAAGATGTCCCTCAGTAGGTGAATGGATAGATAAACTGTGGTCCACCCAGACAATGGAATATTTCAGCACTAAAAAGAAATGAGCTATCAAAACATGAAAAGACATGGAGGAACCTTAAATGCATATTATTAAGGGAGAGACGCCAATCTGAAAAGGCTACATACTATATCATTTCAACTATATAACATTCTGGAAAAGGCAAAACTATGGAGACAGTAAAAAAATCAGTGGTTGACAGGGGCTTGGGGGGCAGAGAGGGATGAACAGGTGGAGCACAGAGGATTTTTAAGTCAGTGAAAATATTCTGTGTGATACTATAATGGGGGATACCTCTCATTATACAGTTGTCCAAACCCATAGAATATACAACACCAAGAGTGAACCGTAATGTGAACTATGGACTTTGGGTGATTGTGATGTGTCAATGTGGGTTCACCAATTGCAACAAATGTACCATTCTGTGGTGGATGTTGATAATGGGGAAGGCTATGCATGCGTGGGGCAGTGGGTATATGAGAAATCTCCATACTTTCCACTCAATTTTGCTATGAACCTAAAATAGCTCTAAAGAAAAATAAAGCCTTAATTTAAAAAAAAAGTAAAAAGATTTCTAACTTCAGAAACTCTTAGTCAAATGGAAGAGACAGAACTACACAGGAAGAAAGACCCTAAGGAATTCCATTTTGGATAACAAGGCAGGCCAGGTACCTGGGTTGACTGTCCTACTGAAAACTATGAACAATATTGGGTAAAATATTAAAACCTTCTTTTTGAAGGCATTAATGAACTAACAAGAGAGTAAGGAATCCTCAGGACAGGGACTGAATAAATACAGATACCAGGAGAGTAAACGGTTTGCTGGGGTGATGGAGTTAAGGGGAGGGGAGACTCCGCCACAGCAGGTGAACCTGAATGCTGGTTTTCTGGGCCTCAAGGGCCAGGTGGTGAATAGGAGGCAGGGCTCTGGCCTGCCCAAGTTGAAGAGTCTAGTGGAAGATCCAAGAGACTGCCTCCTCGGAGCAGGGGAATTAAGGGTAAGTTGGAAATAACACACACTCGCACTGCTGCACCGAGGCTTGCAGAGAAAATCCACCACCTCAGATCACTGTTGTGATCAGAGAGAGCAAAGATTGCTGCTGGGAATTGGACCCATGAGCCAATCCTCAAGGGGATCTGCCTGGAATTCACAAAACCTTAAGCTGAGAATTTAATTTAGAGTGATCTCAGTGGAAGCAAATGCCAGTTCTCTCCGGAGGAACCTGCCTTCATTACCGACTTCGAAGAATCCCCACAAATAAAATTCCAAGGAAAATGAGCAGCTCATAGTAAGAAATAACTAAGCACAAAAAGAAACTATATAGCATGAGCAAAATTCACCAAAAACAACAGATGGCAGAAACAGATCTCTAAGGGCTTTAGATAATGGAAGTATCAAAAGTGATATATGAAATGACTATGTATAATATGTCTAAATAAATAAAAGACTGTTTCAAAATATATGCAGAGCACAAGAAATTATAGAGAATGCCAAGCAGATTTGGGGGAAAAAAAAAACCCTCCAAGAAATGAAAACTACAGCAGCCCCCCCCTTATCCAAGGTTTTGCTTTCTGTGGTTTCAGTTACTCGCAGTCAACCATGGTCTGAAAATATTAAATGGAAAATTCCAGAAATAAACAATTCATATGTTTTAGATTGTGTACTGTTCTGAGTAGCGTGATGAAATCATGTGCTGTCCTGCTCCATCCCACCCAGGATGTGAATCTTCCCTTCATCTAGCATACCCACACTGTATACGGTACTTGCCCGTCAGTCACTTAGTAGCCGTCTCAGTTATCAGATCGACTGTCACGGTACTGTAGTGTTTATGTTCAAGTAACTCTTATTTTACTTAATAATGGCCCCAAAAGGCAAGAGAGTGATTGATGCCCGGCAATTCAGATATGCCAACGAGAAGCCATAAAGTGCTTCATTTAAGTGAAAAAGTGAAAGTTTTCAACTTAATAAGGAAAAAAAAATTGTGTGCAGAAGTTCCTAAGATCTATGGTAACTTTTATGCCAGTACAGTCATGTGTTGCTTAATGGCAGGAATACATTCTGAGAAATGCATAGTTAGGCAATTTTGTTATTGTGGGAACATCATAGAGTGTCCTTACGCAAATCTAGATGGTATAGCGTATACAAACCTAGGCTCCATTATAATCTTACGGGACCACTGTCATATATGCGGTCTGTTGTTGACTGAAACGTCGTTATGAAGCACGTCTGTATATTGTTAAAATTGTTCTATTTTATTATTAGTTATTTTTGTTAATCTCTTATGTGCCTAATTTATAAATTAAACTTTATCATAGGTGTGTATGTATAGGAAAAAAAAATAGGATATATAGGGTTTGGTACTATCTGCAGTTTCAGATATCCACTGAGGGTCTTGGAATGTATCCCCTGCAGATAAGGGGGGGACTACTGTACACTAAAGTTGAAAACTTTATGGAGAAGTTTAACAACAGATTAGACCCAGTTGAAGAGGGAATAAGTGAGCTGAAAGCCAGATCTAATGAAATTATCCAGAATGCAGTATAGGGATAAATAGGTAGAAAAAAATGAAATAGTGGTTTAAACACATGGGAGATAGAGTGAGACAGTCTAACATACTTCTAACCAAAGTCTCAGAGGAAAAGACAGAATGGAGGAGCAAAGGCAATATTTGAAGAGACAATGAGAATTTTTCACAACTGATAGAAGATAATAACCCACAGACTTAAAGAAGTCTAAAGAATCTAAAATAAATTGACACCTCGACATGTATTAAGGTCTTAAAAATGACCAGAGAAGAAAACACATGTTAGCTTCAAAGTAGCAATGGTGAGTTTGACAGCTGACTTCATGAAAATGATGGAAGCCAGAAGTCAGTAGAAGGATATCTCGAATAATATCTTCCATATGCTGAGAGAAAAGAACTGTCATCCCAGAATTCTACAGTCAGAGAAAATATCTTCCATGAATGAGTATGAAATAAAGACATTCTCAAACAAGTAAAAACAGTTGTTTGCCACCAGCAGACTCTCACTAAAGCAAGTTCTAAAGAAAATAATTCAGGCAGAAAGAAAGTGATCCCAGATGTAAGGTCTGAGATGTAAGAAGAAATGAAGAGCACAGAATAAAACAATTAAAATATCTTATAGGGTCTAAAAAGAAAAACATAACCAAAATCAAAATACATGACAACAATAACATACAGGGGAGTGAATGCAGTTAAAATATTCTAAGATCTTTGTGTTATACAGGAAACAAAGATATGAATTTTAGACCTTGATAAACTAAGCATGCATTTTCTAATTATTACATAACATACCAAAAAATAAAAAATAAAAGTAGGTGGTGTTTTTTATTTTTATCTCCCAACTAGTAATGAGGGAAAAATGGAATAAGAAAAAAATACCCAATCAATCCAAAAGAAGGAAAGAAACGAGAGATACAGAAACAGAACAGATGGGGCAAATTGCACAAAATAAGATGGACGATACAAACCTAAACATATCATGCATTATAATAAACGTAAATGGAGTAAATGCCCAGTTAAAAGACAAAGACTACTATCTTGAACAAAAAAAAATCTAACTAAATGCTATTTACAAGTGCTATTTCTAAGACATAAGAATATAGAAAAGTTAGAAGTAAAAGGATAGAAAAAGATATACCAAGCAAATTCTAACAAAAAGGGAAAAGATCTAAGTTTTCCATGTTACAGGGATGTAATAGAAAGCTCTCTAGCACGCAGTTGGGAGATTTGGGGACAACTCTCAGCTTTGTTCAGGTTAACTAGCCTTGTGACTTAGGAAAAGCTGCTTCCCACTCTGGGCCTGTATTTCTCATTTGTAATAGGAGACTAGACTATACAACTGCGAACATTTTGTGGGTGCAGACAGATACAGGTAAGAACTTGAAGGAAAGGACTAAAGTAGTAGTTCTCAACCAGTGGGGGCTATGGGACATGGCAGGATCAACTGGGGAGATTCTTCAAAAGGCAGATCATCTCTCGTCCATACACATACTCCTTGGATATCAGAATCTAGAGGGATTCTGGTGTGTGTATAAAAACACTCTTTTCAATTGATTCTGATATTGCCACCTACCTCCTCCCTTATCCTAAGACACTGAGAATCCCTAGACAGGAAAGAAAAAGCACTGGCATTAAGAATTGAGAATGCTAGTTCTCAGTGCTACTTGACCCCAATGGGGCCAGTGGAAGGGAAAGAGAGAACTGTGGCAATGTCACTGTTGAGGGATCCCAATAACTGGAGAACGTTGTGACATGAGGTTCCATTGGCAGGAGAAGCTCCCAGGCCCTAGAACTTCCCTACAGCTTCCAGGGACCCCAGTAAGACTCTGGATATCATGGTATTATTTGGAGGCATCCTTGACCCCTCCCTCATGCTCATGAGAGAAATCCTAAATAAGTTAAGAGAGACAAATTTGTTCCATTTCATAGTCTTGGTTCTGTGTCCTGTGGGGAAGGATAAGGAGGCACAGATGGCCCCTGGGCACAACTCCAAACTCACCCACATCCTGCTCATGTCACTCAGTTCGTTTTTGTATCTCAGAGAGTCCTTCAGGACCTGGAGAGGGAAGAGAACAGCCTATGATAAGAGAAGGAGAGGAGATGGAATATGGTACAAGATGGTCTTGTGGTGGGGAGGAGAGGCTGACAGAGAGAGACAAACCCGCCTCTAACTGGCAACCAAAAGGCCAGGAGAAGGGGGCAGATGCCACTCCCAGTGCAGGAGCAGACGGCGGCCTCTGTAGCCCAGGCAGTCGTACCTTCCCCACACGGGTCCCTGACTTGCTAGCCATCCCCTGCAGCCCCAGGAACTCACATTTGGGTGTCCATCTCGGAGGAGTTTGTGGAACACGTGGCAGAACTTCCAGCAGAGTACAGCGTTGCTAGAGAGGGGCAGCCGGTTGACAACAGACCAAAAGGTCTGCGCCCCTTTCTCATGGTGGGTGCCCAGGATGCACGGTGATGGAGGGTCATGGAAAACAAAGGCACTGGTGCTGCCCCAGGCAGCCAATCCCTGGGATGGAGCCTGCAACAGGCCACTGCGGAGGGCCGTGCCATTGTTCAGGGCACAGGGCACTACCCAGGACCAGGCACTGCTTATAACTGAGACACCACAGATCTGTATATTTATCCTGGCATTTTTTGGCAGATGGCAATAAAGTGTCTCATTTTAATAAAATCCATTTTATTAGACAATTTCCCCAGAGATGGCAATGTCTTTTGGGAGGGATGTCTTTTTCTAATTTGCACAAGAGCTCTCTAGGTCAGCACTGGTCCTGATTTGCCTTTAGTGGGAAGATGCTTTGGTTGCAACAAGGGCTTTGCCGCAGGCAGACAGACTCTGTCCTTCCTCTGGGTATGCTGAGTATGTGATGGGGCCTTTGGGGCAATAAATACAGCTAACATTTTAACAACAACAGTTTCTGAAAGTTCTTTCCTATCCATTATTCAAAAGTGAGGGCATGCTTCAACTCTTCATCAAGTGCCCTGGCCCCTGCTGGGGACCCCACTCCCTGGCCTACTCACGCTCTTGGCTCCACCTGACTCCTCTCCATTTGGGTACTCTGCTCTTGCCCTGAAAGCAGCAGTCTTTAAAATATCATTTCCTAAAACTTAAAATGACTCTTACACCCCACCTCTTCTATAAACCTGCCTGGCCTCGTTCAGGGGTGCCTTCATCTCCCAAAGATCTTGAATTCCCTGTATGTGGAATCTTGGGGCCGCTTCTTCCTGAGATCCAATCACAAACACACCCACCAGCCACGGACCGCCTGCCATGGTTTGCATGCAATAAATGTCCACTAGCCTCTCGTGATTTTAAGTTAGCACTCCAGACCTCTGTAATTAGTGAGCCCTTTTTGGGGTGAGTAGAGAATGTCCAGTTTTGATTGTTTGCTTAAACAGGCTTCACACACCCCGTAACTGGGCACCCATCAACCCCAAAGATAGCTCTTTCCCTGGAACTTTCGGCTCCTTTATCAAGGCTCAGGTAAGGAGCACAGTGCCATTTAGGACAGAAAGACCTACCTTGGGTCAGAAACTATATGACTCATACGGCATGCATGTTGTTTTGCTTCTGAGCTGGAAGGTCATATAAAGTTCCTTCCCTAGCCTGAAATCTGCATTTTGAGAGGGGGGCTTGAACACAGACTTTTGGGTTTGGAAGCTGAAATCAGCATTTGGTCTTGGAGCGATTTCTGAAATAACTTACGGTTTTACCTAAAGCACAGCCCCCACGGACAAGGAAGCCAAGGGGAGAGATGGGCAGCCGCCTACGCTCTCCTGCGCCGACAGCTCAGGCTGACCGTGGGTACCTTACCCGAGAGTGGTCTGCCGAAACAGAAGCCAGCGCAGGTGCAGAGCCAGCCAGGCACCCGACTTGGAAAAAGGCAAGAAGACCTTTCTGCCCTTCTTTGATTTTATAAGCATTTTTACTCACCAATTAAGTGTCAGGCACTGCAAAAGATGCTCAGGGATATAAAGAAAACTACGACTCAGTCCCCAGCTCTCCAGGAGCAAATACTATGGTGGGAGCGGCTGACCTATTCCCATTAGACAGCCGGGATGAGTGACGGGCTGAACAGCATTTCTGAAGTCAGACTTCCAAATGCTCCTTCAGGTGGCATCAAGCGAGGGCCGCCGATGCTCTTTAAAAGAATTGATCAAGAATAAATGTTTTGTGATATCTTTAACTAGGCTTTAGAAACCCTACTGTATGGAGTTGATCTTTTCAACGTTTATCCACCACTTAGAAATTGTGAATCAGAGACGCACAGAATGTTGGAGCTGGAACGTTAGATCTCTGAAATCTTCTTCGGCCAACTCTTTCATTTGACGGACAAGGGAACTAAGGCTCACTGAGGCCCCACTGGGCCCACTCAAGGTCCAGAGTGAGCCAGAGAGCTCCAGAAGCGGGATTCTGGAACCCCCCAGAAGCATCCCTTCCACCGCCCCAGGCAGCCTCCCCGGAGGGTGTGACACAGCCCTGCAGCTGAAGGCCTGGTCCCCTCCGTGCCAATCCCCGACCCAGAGGAGCACACTGGCCCATCACAACTGTCTCTCTCTCACTTCATATCTTGCATCAAACTGATCAGTAGTCTCAGCACACAGGTGTCTGGACTGGGTAATTCCCTCTGAGAAAATCAATTGGGCCACTTATAATGAAGGTTTTTCTTGGTTTGTTTTTAATTACGGTAAAGGCACCAAACGTGAGGCAGTAAAGCGCCTGTCTGGGAATAGAAGGGCAAGGTCCAGCTAGGCTCACTGTTGGGCCGGGCTTCTGGGGTACCCAGGAGAGGTTCTATAGCCCCCATCCCACAGCAAAGCCCTAATTTCAACCAAACTGCTTTCCCTCTGGTGAAGAGCAGTACACGCTGACAGCAACATTTCCTGGGGGCCTGCCACGTTCTGGGCATCTAACCTGGAGGGTCTCCTCCAGGGGCTGAGGTGGGATGGCCTCAGGAGAGCTGTTCTGGCCTGACTGGACGGGCTGTGGCAGAGCCATCACGAGGAGCCCGGGGAAGGAGGAGCTGCCCATCCCAGACAGAAGCGCGGCCACCACCTGCCCTAGAGGGTGCCCTGCTCCGGCCGGCACACACAGAGACAAAGGCTCAGCCCTGCTGCCAGCCTCTCCTTCGGCCTTTGGGGATTAAGCCCTCCAGCTCCTGGACTCTATACCTCAAGGCAGATCCCAAGGGATCCACCAGCGAGTGGGGCCTCACTTCCCTCCACCCGTGATGGTGGTCACCCAGGACCTCTGCCAACTCAACGTGGTGGGCTTGGTGCAAACTTTCAAGTACCCAGTTCCCCAATCCACCTTGAGGTCCCTGTCTTCTTCCCTTCTGGCTTAGGGTGAACCCCTGTATCAGCTGAAGGCCAACCACTGCAGCTGAGACCTCTGTTTTGCTTTCATGCTCAGAAAAGGGGAGATGATCAGGTCCCCAAGGGGGTGGTCCGTGTAGGGCAAAGTGCAGGGCCTGGAGCGCTTTGATGCAAGTTAAAATCTCTCCTGTGCCCCGAGGAAATATCTCAAAAGGAAGTAACTTCAAAGGACTTCGCAGTTCTGCAAAGGTGAAGTCCTAGGAGAGGAGTGAGGTCGTTGGCAAGTAGCAAAGGACGGGGCTGGATGTCCCCTGGTGCCTTCCACCCTGCCCGGCTGTGGTCTGAGGCCAGCTGCTGCCAACCCACGCTGCTCGAAGCCCGCGGGGCCTGGCCTCTGGGGGCCCCCCCGCAGCTGAGCAAGGACACCTCGCCCTGACCTCAGCCCCATGGTCTGAGCCCCTCAGGGTCTGTCTTCCAAGCAACATCCAAAAGGATATTTCTGGCGTGTTTTTCCTTTACAGCCACTTCCTGCGTATTAATGGCCTTATTGATGCTGACAGTCTGAAAAACAAGAGCGGGGAGAGAGGAGGAGGAGGAGATGAATAAGCTTCTGAGAGGGACTAAGACCCTCCCAAACGCCCCACCCCCTTCTCTCCCTCCAATGACTCCTCTCTGGCTCTCCACTCTCCCAAGACCCCTCTGCCCCACTGTCCCTATGCAGGGCCCCCAGCGGGGGGCAGAGGTGGGCAGCACTTCCAGGCCAGCTGGCCCAGGCTGTGCTAAGGCAGCGGGCTTTGCTGCCTGGCATTGGCTGTGCCCAGCTGCTGTGCCTGCCTGCCACTCATTCACTTGGCACAACAACACGGCAATTAAAGCCTGCACAAAGGGATGCTTTTCATCCCGCAGGGAAACATTATTTCTCCGGGAGCAGGAGGAGGAGGCGCTGAGATGAGGCAGCGACTGTGGCCCCAAGACCATCCAGCCGCCCACTATTCCGCAGAGCCTTCCCTGCCCAGGTGGGACCCGGTCACTCACGTCTTGTTTCCCACTCCTGGACACTTTCCAACTCTTAACCAAATTCCCTTTAATTTCCTTACTTACATCAAAGGGCATTAAAAATATGCACCCCTTTCCAGTGGTTTTTAAACATATCTCTTTTCAATTTAGCAAAGCATGTATACACGTAAATATAACTTACACAAATACACACACGGGATCATAGCATGGAGGCTGCCTTTTTTAAGTACAGCTTCTCCCTTTTTCTGTTTTCTTTTGCTTCCCTTCCACAGACGTCATCTACCCCAACCCATGTTAACAACCTGTTTTGCACCCTACACACACACACACAAACACACACACAAAACCTACACACTGAAGGGGTTAATTTTGCCACTGTTCTGCAAAAAACGGGACTGTCATGTACAGAATTTTCTACATCTTGCCTTTCTCACTTGAAAATATCTCATGAAAAATTCTCCGAGTGAACTAGTAAGACTCTAGTTCATTCTTTAAAAAGACAACATAAAATTCCACAGTGTGCGTGGGTGGTGATTTATACAAGCATTTCCGTGTTGGTAGGCAATCAATTTATTTCCAGTTTTTTTTTAACCACTGTAAACTATTTTAGTAAACACTCTTATACAAATATCCTTAGTATTGGATGCTTTTACTTCCAAGGGATAGATTCCTAGGAGTGAGATTACCAGGTCAAAGTTTCTTTTTTCTTAACTTTTCATCATGGAAAAGTCCACACACACACACACACACACACACACACACACACACACACACGAAGATCAGCCTAATAAGCTTGCACGCAGTCAGTCCCCAGCGGCACTCGCTGTGAACTTGCAGCCAGCACGCTTCCTTATGGACGAGGGGTTGCAAGCATTTTCTGTAAAGAGCCAGTTAATAAATATTTTAGGCTCTGCAGGCCAGCCACATGGCGTCCATCACAACTATTCGACTCTGCTGCTGTAGCAGAAAAGCAGCCTAACTGATACTAAAGGAGTATGTAACCTAACGAGTGTGGCTGTGTTCCCACAAAACTATTTACAAAACCAGGTGGTGGTCTGGATCTGGCCTGCACCCAGCGTGCTGAGCCCTGCTCGATATCATCGGCCACTGACCCTTGTACTCCCTGGATTATTCTGAAGTAAATCCCAGGTATTGTATCATTTTACCAGCAAATAATTCAGTATGAACTTAAAGGGAAAAAAACAGACTTTTAAAAATTAACCATAATGCTATGATCACACCTAAAATTTTCAGAATAATTCCTTAAAATTCTCAAATGGTTAGTTGGCATTCACATTTTGTCAAAAAAACACCTTTCTTGCAGTTGTTCTAATCCGGATCCAAATGGGGTTGCCATCTTGCCTTTTAAAAAGGCTCTACCAGTTCACATTTCCACTGACAATGTACAGAGGCATTCCCACCGCCAACAGGGGTTATCACTTCTCATTTTTGCTGGTCTGTGTAGTGACATTTTTCTTCTTGTCATTTCTGCTGGTGATGGGTGTAGTGACATTTCATCATGATTTTAATCTGCATTTCCCTGACTGCTAGTGAGTTCTGAGTATTTTCTTACATGTTCTCAGGGTTGTTGACTGTCTTACATAGTTAAGTACGGCCACCTCACCTTTTATAAAGAGCTTTGACGCTTACCTAAGGTTTCTCCTGCCCATGGATTATACTTGGAGACTCCTAGGTTTTCTTCTAAGTGTTTGTTTGTTTTTTACATTTGAGTCTTTATCTGGAAAAAACACATACATACATATATGTATATGTACATATAGTATAAAATACGTTATGTTATTTCTAGGCTTTACCAAGATATGTTCTTTGGTGTCTGGTTTATATAACTTTTGGGTGTATTCTTTAAGTCCACTTTTCCATGTACTTTTTTCTCCCTACCAGACTCAACTCTTGAACAACATAAGCTCTCTTACGGTTGAATTATGTCTCCCCCAAAATGATACGTTCAAGTCCAAATCCCCCAGGACCTGTGAAAGGGGTCTTATTTTGAAACAGGGTCTTTGCAGATGTAATTAGTAAAGATGAGGTCATAATGGATTACCGTGGGTCCTAAATCCAATGACTGGTGTCCTCATAAGAAGGTCATGTGAAGACACAGGGACACAGAGACACACAGGGAGAAGACGGCCATGTGAAGACAGAGGCAGAGATTAGAGTTAACGTATCTACAAGCCAAGGAACACCAAGAAGTGCTGGGAGCCAACAGAAGCAAGAAGAGGCCAGGCAGGATTCTTCCCTAGAGCCTTCAGAAGGAGCATGGCCCTGCTCATACCTTGACTTTGGACTTCGAGCCTCTAGAACTGTGAGAGAACAAACTTCTGTTGGTTTAAGCCACCTAATTTGTCAGGGCAGCCCCAGGAGGCTAACACAGGGTCCTTTACCCATTGGAGGTAAGACCAGTCAAGAAAGAATCTCATCTAAAAGATGCTGCAGGAAAGAAGTAACTAGTTTATTCCCCCACATTTCCCAGCGGAGCAGCACGTGTGTCCTAGGGAGGCCCAGGGCCCGCTTCCTCGGAACAAGTCCTCGCTCGGACCTTGTCTCCCAGCCTCCGCTTCCAGGCCCGTCTCAGGCCATCCTCCTTCCCTCAGACTTCTTGAGTTACAGCGGTTTACACTGTCTCCAGGACAATGAAGTGATCCTGACTGCAGACGGAGCTCTGGGCAAAGTCACCATGTCTGCTGAGCCCTGAAAAGTTGGCTGCATTCCGTAAGGAGTCATAAGGGACATAAACATGTAAGTGACAACAAGAGACCCAGATCCGGTGAGGTGCTGAACTGGATGTGGTCAGGTTCCAGGGGGTTTGGCAGAGACAATAGTAGTATGGGCTGTGAGGTAGGGGAAACCCGTGTTGGCCGAAAACGCTAGAAATGCTAGGCCCCGTCAGGACCTCGAGGGAGGATCCATGAAGAGTGGGATTTAGATTTATTCCACAAATATTTGTTTATACTGACTGACCAATTGCCCAAGGTTGTGGTCATTATGAGTCTTGCTTGCAAAAAACCCCCACACCACCTTAAAATTCCCTTAAGTAACATAAAATAAAATACCATGAGTTTGTAACTATAGATCCTGCACCTGTGAGTTGGCTCAAAATTGGAAATGTTCTGTGCTCTGAATGTTGAAAGGAGGGAGAGGGCCGGCCCTGTGGCTTGGTGGTTAAGTGCGGGCGCTGCGATGCTGGCGGCCCGGGTTCGGATCCCGGGTGCGCATCGAGGCACCACTTCTCTGTCCATCCTGAGGCCGAGTCCCACATACAGCAACTAGAAGGGTGTGCAGCTGCGACATACAACTATCTACTGGGGCTTTGGGGGCAAAAAAATAAATAAAAAAAATCTTTAAAAAAAAAAAAAAGAAAGGAGGGAGAAATCACTGGAAACTTCGATGCTGCCCAGGGAAGACTTCTCAGAGGAAGAAAGGGGCAACGTGTCCCAAGTGCTGTCCCTGCAATTTACCTACTTCTCCCATTTACACTTCCTACAACCTCGGGGCACTTACGACTATTGTACAGACAGGCTGAGCAACTTGTCCAAGGTCATACTATTTGGTTCCAACCCTGGTTGGCAGGATCCTCAAGCCCAGCCCCAAACCACTGTGACAGCTCTGGACTGTGGAGGGGCTTACAGGGGGCGGGGTCTAGGTCAGGGTCAGGGAGCACAGGCCACCCAGGCGGAGGAAGGCACCAGAGTGGAAAGGCCTGGAGCATACAGGCTGGTGCAGCTACACGGAGGGAAGGGAGGAGTGGCGATGAAGGCAGAAAGGGAGATGGCGCTGGGTGAGCGAGGCCAGTGGCCGGAAGGGACAGAAGCAGCTGGCAGAAGACTGGCCAGCAGCAGCGTGAGAGCTGCAGTAGAGGATGACGGAGCCCACAAGTAGGGAGTTGACGGAGGGATCTATTAATTGCAGAGAAGTGTAGGAATAAAGGCCTCAACCAAAATGGTGAAGCACGAGTTGGGAACGAACCCAACATGAAGTGGGCTCTAAAATGAATGCCAAGAGCAACAGCCAGCAGGAGCTCCCGGCCACGGGGACACAGCAGGTGGAAGTATCCAAGATGCTCAGAGGTTCTGAACCTCGACCGGGGGGAGAACAGAGGCAGGGTGTTGCAGGCGGAGGGGACACTGTAAGCAACGGATGAGGTCAGGAGGGTTTTGGGTGAGAAAGAGCCATTTTTAAAAGAATGAGGAAGTGAACTAGCAGTAGCAGTGGTTATAATCAAGATAATAGCAGCTAATGACTGCTTACTACCAGGCCCTTTGCTAATAAATAAGCATTTTGCATGAAGTATCTCATTAAAACCATATAACTCCACATCCTACAAGTAAGTGAGTATTAGTATTCATCATCTCCATTTGACAGACGAGGAAACCAAGGCTTCGGAAGGCTACGTCCATTGCCCAAGGCCAGTCCCAGCAAGTGTGGAACCGGGACTCAGACTCGGCACTGTGGCTCCATTGCTCAGGCTCTGAGTCACAATCCCCGTACTTAGACGTGGCCCGCATGACAGAGACACAAATCCAAAC